GGGGTCATGGAGGGAGCGAGGCTCCGAGCTGTCTGCACGAGTCACAAAGATTTGCAACAAAGAAATAAAAACAGAAACAAAACAGATGCCAGAAAATGCATATATGTGATGTGATGTGAAGTTAGAGCTGTCTATAAGGGTACGGGTCACAAAGATTCGCAATAAAGAATCAAACAAAACAGATGCCAGAAAAAGGTGTATATTTAATGTGAAGTGAGATTTACTTGGTGTAAAAACCACACCATTTATGAAACAAGATAAAATTCCAAAGTCGCAGAATTCAATCAAGTGTTTACATTCAATCATAAATTATTTATAGAACCCTCGGGTGCAAAGCGCATCATACGGTACTACTGTACCCGCAGGCTTCTGCCGCACCCGGTCCAAAAGACCAGGTGTCTACACTACCCGAGTCCAAGCCAGAAACAAGCTTAAGAATTCGACCACCTCGTTCCTTCCCCAACCACTTCCTCCCCTCTCCCGTTGCGCCTATTACCTTCGCAAATTGGACTTGTTGGTCTGCAGGTCTTCCGGATATCAACTTGAATCTATCACCAAACCAAAGGATTAGGTGCTCCTCCAGCAGGACTGCGACAATGGCACAAATCCGTGGTACGGCAGGATATAATCTGGGGTCCCAGAACACCTCATTCGGAGGTCCCTCTAGAGGTGACAACCAGGACCCGAGCCCCCTCGACCAGATAAGGGAGCAAACTAGCAAGATTGAGGACTTCCTGGACACTCTCAGCGACCCTGTCAAACCGTACGTATTCCCCAAACACATACCACCCATCCCGCCTCCAAAGCCCAACAAAGAATTGAATCTTTGGAGCATTTGTATCCCGCCAAAAAAAAAAATACATATGCTGATCCGTGTGCTCTGTAGTTATTTACCAGCAATTGGGCGATTCCTCATCGTTGTGACATTCCTCGAAGATGCGCTCCGAATCATTACACAATGGAACGATCAGCTACTATACCTCCACGACTGGCGCAAAAGTACGACACACCCCCTCCAATATCTCTTTACAATGCTAACGTCATTTCTACAGTTCCAACCGGTCTTACCCACCTCTTCCTAATTGTAAACGTCCTCGCCATGATCTCTTGTTCGACTCTCGTTATTGCCCGGAAATACTCAGACTACGCAGTTGGTGGGCTCATCGGGGTAGTTGTTACACAGGCGCTTGGATACGGCCTCATTTTCGACCTGAACTTCTTCCTGCGTAATTTGTCCGTCATGGGTGGCTTGTTGATGGTGCTGTCCGATTCATGGGTTCGCAAATCAAAGGCCTTCGCTGGCTTACCATCGGTCGACGAGAAGGACCGCAAGATGTACTTCCAGCTCGCGGGCCGTGTCCTGCTGATCTTCCTCTTCGTCGGCTTTGTTTTCAGCGGCACGTGGAGCATCTGGAGAGTCATCGTTGCGGCTTTGGGCTTTGTGGCCTGTGTCATGGTAATCGTGGGCTTCAAGGCAAAGTTCAGCGCTATCATGCTTGTTGTCATTTTGAGCATCTTCAATTTACTTGTCAATAACTTCTGGACTGTAAGTACCCCCCAAACCCTTTTTATTCGAAACCTAGCTAACTTATTCTCCAGCTCCACGAACACCACCCCCACAAGGATTTCGCCAAGTACGATTTCTTCCAAATTCTCTCCATCGTTGGTGGTCTCCTCCTACTCGTAAACAGCGGCCCAGGCAAATACAGCATCGACGAGAAGAAGAAGGTCTACTAGATTCGCCAGAGGAGAGGCCGAGGAAGGATATATCCTGAATATCCCGAAATGAGACGAAGAAGAAGAAAAATAAGTACGCGACATTGGGCGGCGTTATCTTGAGACGCTACATGGATAGGGCAAGGTTATATTTTGCGGAAAGAATGGCGGCTTCCTCTCATAGCAGCATCATCTCTTGAATGTAAATTCACAATCGTAAAAAAGTCTCTTGGCAAAATTTCTTCGATCTCTACACTGGTTATACAATCTTGTTGTGACAAGGGAAATTAACAGACCGTGAAAGAATGTGATGTTGGTGATTTCCAGGCCTGGCTTTTACGCATTGCCTTGTAGGCGACCTCTCCCTAGAGCTATTGAGTAGAAGCAAAATTAACTTGAAATTTTATTGCACACATTCTGTGAGAATCCATAACTTGTTTACAGATCTTTGTATATATTCTTGAATCGACAGCTGAGCTCCTATAGGCTCCAGAAGCAACGCAAACCAAGACCCATGACTCCTGAATCAGTATTCCTAACGCCACTAGCCAACCATAATTCTAAGACCCGAGCCATAGTGTAATATCATATTCGTACACTGAAGATGAAACATAACATGCCAAATCCCAAGCTTGCGCCAACTTGCAAGAATCCAAGAAAGAACAATATGAAGAAAAGTCGTTGATGCTCCGGGTATCTCATCCATTCATACAATCACTCGTCCACTCGTACAGTCATATCAATCATATTCTCGTAAACCTCGCACAATCAATCAATCCACAAACAAATAACCCAAACTCCGTGACACAAGGAGGGATGTGATGTGAAAGCGTGTCGTCCCAAATCACTCTTCCATAACAAGCGCAGAAAGCCCGCTCAGAGTCATCGCATACTGATCCTCCTGGTACATATCCACATCCACATGCTCGCAGGTCCACGCACCAGCAGCAGTAAACGCATCGGCGCCGTACCCGGTATAGCTCATATCCCCACTCCCGGAACTCTGGCGGCTCTTCATGCTCTCCCTGCTTCCTTTTCCTTTCCGCTGGGGTTTGGTGGACAGGATATGAGTTTCCTGTGCGAGGAAGTTTGAAGGGGATGGAGGTGTCGGTGGTGCGCATGCGGGGTGGTGCGATTCTTGCTCAACGAGGAAGCGGCGCATCTGGTACGACATATCGGTCGTGAAGGAAGAGGAGCGGCGGTGTTGTGCCTCGTTGAGACCTGCTTCCGGACACAGGGGTAGGAAGTCATTCGAGATGGTCATGTTGGGTAAAGCATTCTCCACGCCTTCGGGAGAGGGGGCCGAGTGGTTGGACGATGCGTAGGATTCGGGTTGGTACGGATACATGTGTGGTGAAGCTTGGAGCTGGTACTCGTACTCGTGCCATGGAGTCCGCTCGTATGGAGAGGGGTGGGTGCGTTGCATGGCGCCGTTATAGACTGCTACTTCGACGCAGGAGCAGTTGTCCGAGTTGAAGACGGGGGGGCGAGAAGCGGATATGGTCTTGAAGCAGCGAGGACACGTAAATTGATCGGTGTCCCCGTACTCGAGACGGGTGTCTTCAATACGGTTGTAGTCGGGGGAAGACATGTTGGGAATAGGACGGAGGGGCCAGAGAAAGCTGTGGTTGTAAGGATCAAATAGTAATAGGGATGGGGGCATAGCTTACGAGGCTGGCATGTGCTGGGAATTGATAAGGCTGAGAAGTAAAGAAGACAGTTTGGAGATTGGTTGCAGCCCTGAAAGAGGTCTACGGGGGCCAGATGAAATACAAAAAGCAGCACTAGTTTATGATGTATCGGGACAAAGCAGGACCTTCAAGTTGATGAAATGAGTGCTGCTTTGTGTGTCCAGTATAAGACTGGGCAAGGCTGGGTAAGGCTGGGAAGATAACTGGTATGCACTGAGTGCGGTTTGTTTTACAATAAAAAGTATAGTATAGTATAGTATAGTATAGTATAGATAGTTAAGTTTGAATAAATGGCTGTAATGATGAAAGCTTCTGAAGGAAAGTTCCCAAGGGAATAGGTCTTCTTATATCTGGGGACTACCCCTCATCTCTCAGACAGACTTCTTGAGCCGACACAGAACGCTGGCCACTGCGCGGAGGATTGGAGTCCACGTTTCGATCAGCTGCTTCACAAGAGGCCCGAGTATCGGCGTCGACATCTCAAGATAGCGATTTCTGAAGGAGTACGCTGGAGTAACTCCGTCATCGCAGAACAGCATGATGCAATGCAACGCCCAAGAGAGCAGGCGGGCATACCTAGGTACGCTCCGTCGGTACTTGGATTTGGGCAATTGCTGACCTTCAGATGCAAAAGGAGGGGAGGGGTCTGCTTTATCGGCTCCTACGCTTAGCAAGCTTGCCATTGTCGAATAGGAACGGAACCCGTGTAGGACTTCCTTCAGCTCGACGAGGCTGCGTTGCGTTGCTCCAATCATCCCATCCTGGTGCCGGATGCCTCACTTTTCCCAAAGCTGGGCGTGAGCGTGGAAAGAAAGAGCCATTTTCGGCTGTGTCGTTAAGATATTCCTCGCTTGGCTTGGTCTTAACCTCATAACATTATCGGGGTGGCTGTATCCACATTCGTCCGCATTACTCCCCCCTTGATTTGGCGAGGCGGGTGGCATCGGTGTTACCTGACGAGTCTCTTCATTTGTAAGATCTATGGGAAGGGGCATCCAGATAGCTACCTACATTCAGATGATTCAAAACGATACACATCGCACAGGGCAGATGAACAACTGTCGATACCTAAGCAACTTCAAGCCACCGGATGGATGGGTGAGAACGTCTGACCGAGTACAAGGAAGGAGTTGCTCGGCTTTAGAGACGATGATAGACTTTGACCACGTCTACTACTCTCTGGTTATCAGTAGTTGAGTCACACTTTTCCACATCTTCTACTCTCTGGTTATCAGTAGTTGAGTCAATACTCCTACTCCGTACATGTACATGTACCGGCGACCGCCGCCAGCCGTTAGCTTTGTACCTTAGCAAGGCTGACTTACCGTAGACTCCCAGCACAGCCCCGTCCATAGCATAAGGTAAGATTACCATCCCGCCTCTCCTCCGGTCTCGCAGGGTACTTACTGTCCGGTATCTCCATTTCTTGAGGCTCATGTGCCACAGAAACCTGGGGTCATGCACCCTCTTTGTTTCTGCATGGCGCCTTGCTTTCTGTTTACATCATTACATGCAGCATGCATGCATGCGCTAGAAGCATTCCTCTGCTTCTAGCTTCCCCTACGAGAGACTAACGATGCGTATTATTAGGCTTAGCCATGGATAGATTTAGGAATACCTTGGGCAATCGAAAATAGAATGTCCGTAATGAAAAGAGATCTTGGTAAGCGTGCTATGCCGTGTGTATCTGATACTGGACGTCCTCTTTAAAAAAAATTTGGACGGGGCGATGGACGTTTGGGATCTTTTTCAGAATAGAATATATCTTGCCTTGGTCTATGTCCCCGTTGCGGCAAATATCAACGAATTTTTATCAACAGCACTGCCTCTTCTCCTTAGGCCGCCAGCTTTCCTCCTTCTTACCAGTTGGTAGCCACGATCGAGCTCGGTCTCCACTGCACACCTTACCTTCAAGGCTCCCACAGCAGGCCACACACTTCTCTCCCCTCGCAGGATCCAGTAATCCAAACTTTCCTGAGTAGGTGTTTCAAGTAAACGTATAAAGTCGCCCACTGAAAGCTCGGGAACGAGCGTTACCGAAGCTGCTGGAATATGTTCATCCACTAGGAAACGTCTGATTGACAGAGGCAGCATGCCGAGGCTGTCGAGCTGCTGGAGGCGATGATGGAGTTCCATTGTGAAGAGCCTCAGTATTCCACCTGTCAAAGACGTCCGTCCACCTCGGGTGTAAAAAGGAGAAGGCCCATGCATATCGCTCTGGAGAAAAGGGATGAGATATGGCCGAGCCTGGGAGACGACGAAGTGATTAACGTTGAAGAGCTCTGCAATTCTTGACAATGGTGAGTCTCTATCGGTATATGAGACATGAGTCCAAGGTCGAAACGTTGTATCCAAGGCTGTCGACCAAGGGACAATATCACCAGTGGCATCCTTGCATTTCAGGGTAATTGAGCGGCCATAGAGTGACGGAGAAGATGCATTCGACGCTATGGCAGCAGACCAGATCAACTATGGAGATGTTAGCCGGTTTACTCTACAATAATATGTCCCAACAACTTACAACATTCGGCGCAGTCAGGTAATTCAGGAGGTTTGGGACTCCGCTTCTACCATTAGTCGCAACCGTAATATTGAGCACCCGTTTCGTCCTATTATATGCTTCTTCGAAAGTCAGATCTCCAACATTATCACGAACGCATGTCTCCAGCACGCTAACATCCAAGAAGTACCCTTCTCTCCAGAACCTCCTAATTCTTCTGCTAAGAGTCTCAAACCAACCACTATGGAATCCAGGGGCAGGATGTCCATCTTCAAGGACAACGCCAAACTTTCCCGCGAAGGCAGAAAGATCAATACTCTCACCACTGAGAAATTTTGGCAATTCGTCTTCGGTATGTATGCCAACGAGCGCCGCAATCAAAGCTCCAGTGGCGGTTCCGGTGATTATTCTCGGCAAGATCCCTCGCGCGAACAAAGCTTTCACCACTCCAAGATGGCACAACCCAAAGATTGAGCCACCTTGAAGAACGAGTGTGCTCCTACCAAAAGCCTGCCTTGTATCATGCAACAAGTCCATCTTTACCTGACTGCTAAACCCCGCAATTGCCCCACTGCCATCTGCCCCCGGGGAGGTCGCTAGCTTCGCGACATCCGCAATAGCTTGAGCGACTTGTGTGATATAGTCCTCAATCAACAGTTTGGTCCCAGCAAAAGCCCGATTGAACAGCCGCGGTGTTGAGATATTGCCTAGGTTTCGCACTAGGCCAGACCGTAGGAGATTGACTAACTGCAAGATATCCCCCTCTTCCCGGGCAAGAATAATTGACTGGAGACGTTCGTGAATGAGTCTGTAGTCGTAGTATTTCGAGGTAGGATTCTGGCGCCTACGATCATTTTAGCAGACACATATCTGATCCCTGCCTCATGGTACTCACCATAAATCATTCCCCAACAGCACATCGAGCTGGAATGCGGCTTCCTCCCACTCGTCGTACGTTTTTGCATCCCGCAGGATGTCAGACCAGACTTGAACAGGCTTTTTCTTCATCAGCCATCTAAGGAATCTCTATTACCAATAAATTAACATCTTCAAACAAGGAGGGGAGAGAGATATGGAGATATGAAGCTTCTATGTACCCTTTGCCAGAAGAACAGGACATCTATGAGCATGACCCAGATTGCCGCCAGGATCCCCGCCATCGCGATTGAGGGAGACTAAAACGATCTCCTGGCAATAGCCTGCCAAGAATCATATTTAGAAGCTCAGTCTAGCTTCATGCTTCAAGCTTTTCGGTGGTTCGAGTTGGATGAAGCGGAGAAGCTTGAGAAGAGTGTGATTGCCGACATGTGATGCTGGAGAGCTTTCCCCGGATTTTCGGCACGCAGGGATCATGAAATGGGGCAGTTTTAGATCTTAGGAGCATCTCAGGCACCACGAGACCAAGATCTTTTATTTGGCCAAGGCCATGTTATATTTGCATGGCGTACCGTTTTCAAGAGTCCTTTAGTCAAGGCATTTATTGTATTGTACTATATAGCCGACCTGTGCTTTTGTGTCCCTTAGATCTGTCTTAATCCTACATTCCTCGCAAATCATGGCAAACCTGAACTATTCATCTTCATCCTCATCGTCCTCGATAACATTCCGTTTTCTGCCTCTGCCTGCCGGGCCCTCAATCGCTACTGGAGCCGCAGGGGCTTCATCATCATCCAGATCAGCCTCCGCATCGGCGTCTGCATCACTTATGTCCTCGTGCCTTGATGGCTTTTGCTTCTTCGCCTTGGGTTCATCACTGTCATCAAGTATTTCTTCTTCCTCGTCGTCGTCGCCCTCGGGTCCATCCTCAAGTTCCTCGTCGCTGTCAGCCAAGAAATCGTCTTCCTTGTCATATTCGTCCTCTCTGCCCCGACCACGCGGAAGATCGTCGTCTGAATCGTAATCTGGGCGGTGTCTCGGTCTCTTGACACCCGCTGATTTACGACCAGCGGGGGCTCTTCTGCCACTGCGACCTTCTAGGTCATCCACCGTCAAACCACCAGCACGACCACGACCCGAAATCGATGCTTTTTCCGCGGCAGTTTCACGCCGGCGTTGGGCTCTCATCCGTTCCTTCTCGGCCATCTCAGCCTGCTTTTTCTGTAGCTCGGGATCTTGTGTATTGGTGATCACTTCGGGCCCATTTTTCTCGTCTCGATTGTGGTTGCCCCGGGCAGCTGCTGCCAAACTTCTCTGTAGCTTCTCCAAAGCATCATCTTCGATATCTTTGTTAGGCTTGACCGTATATTGATTGGTCATGTGGCCAAATAATACCAGCACTTGGGCTGACACAGAAGGCGATGCTACATATGAATGTGAATCCATCACTTCTTGATAGATTTTGTTGTCTCTTGGTGGAGCCATCGGCTTGGTTGATAACTCGTAGTGTTGGTCTCCTACCCCAACTGTAGTGCTACCATCGCTCCATCGATACACAACGGTGTTGCTTTCCAGCTCTCCCGTAGATCCATCTTTCCGGTAGCGCATAGTGGAAGCTGATGTAGCATTGGCAGAGAAATTCGCAGATCGGGTCTCTGAGTGATGGTCAGATGTTGGAATAGTGAAGGTTTCCGGGATATAGGCTCGAGGCTCTATGCCAAGAAAGTTAGGCAGGCGTAAGGTATTGAACTTGGGTTGTCAGCGTGGTTTTAGAGCTCTGGAAGTGGTGGTCTACCTCTCCATCAAGAGGCTTCGGAAGAGGATGCCTCCATAAAGTCTTCTCCTCAATCCGAAGCTGCTCTTGATCATCTGACGCCTTGTATCGAGCTTCGTCCTTCTGCGCCCTATCTTCTCTATTCTCGTCGTCTCCAGAGTCGAGCTCCTCGTCACTCAATTCGAGAGGCTTTTCCACCGCGGGCTCGTCGTCGTCATCCCCAAATAGGTCATCTTGGAGCTCTGGCTCAGTATTTATGGGTTCTTCGTCTGAGGAAGACATTACGCGGGCTCTCTGAGAATGCGATGGGCTGCTGGAGGTAAGTATACCAGAGGGGTTTTGGGAAAGATGTCTTGGCCACAGCGCGAAAGCGACAGCATGGATTGCAAATAATTGTTCCTACGCGACTGTAAAAGCGGCGTATATTGTGCATAAAGCGGCAAGAAAGAGCCTCACCGCCAGCATCCCGAGACTAGTCTAACTCCATTGAGGTTTCTTCCACTCCTATTCATTCAACCCTGTTCTCTATCCCCTCCACAACTTCGAATCGACATACACATACGGTACGCAAAAATCCCCGACGGTCAATGTAAAAGAACCATTCAATCGCATCGCCGTCAAAATGTCAAATCTCTTCTCTGGAATGTGGGTATTACAATTCTTCACGTGTTTCAAAGTCAGGAGCCGGGGGTTGTCGACGACCACAATGTCGCACCTCAAGCGGCTGGTTCAGAGGCATTGATTGATATTCAAAGTTATGCTTCTGGGGGAAATGGCGCCTTCCCACCTTGGACAGCGATATGATCACCTCAGGGCTAGCATGTGAGTCTGAGATACAACCAGCTGTAGCTCAAAAGTTTGAGCTGTGTGGATATCAAAGATTTGAGGGGTTGATGAGTACCATTCACTGGATTTTGCAAACCTTGGAATCATGTTACAATTTATAAACCTTCTGGCGTCCTTTTTCTCGGGAATTTTGCCTTTCCGACAAGCCTTTCTAGTTCTTCTTGCTCGCTTCGCCTTCTAAACCCTCATACTAACAGTTCCTCTTCTAGTAGTGGTCGCTTTCGCAGAAGCCCTGGGACATCAAATGGAACCCAGCCAGCTTCACCAACAGGCGCCGCTCCTGGTTCAGGAGCAGGTGCAGGTCCGGGTTCATCGTCGATTCATAGCTCTTCATCTTCCGCAAGTTTAGCGCCAAGAGTTCCGCCACTTCCAAACTCGCCATCGCTCTCTCAGACAATGTCTATGAACGAGTCAACTAACAGCCTTTCCAATTCGGATCCTCGTGATCCTCTTGCACCCTACAACCTTCCTCGGCCAAAGCCTCTTTGGCTCAATGATATGTATGCTAAACACATCGTCAAGGGCAATTTTATGACTTTGTCGGCTCGGCCAAAGACTGTAGAGCAGGGCGAATGGATTGCTCATCAAGGTAACTATTAGCGATTCCTTGGAGTCACCTTTTGGCTAATATTTGACAAAGTCGTTGAGCATTACCGTAACTTGTGGAATTTTGTTCGTGTTATTCACGAGAAGGATGAAGACGGTAGCTCCATTTGCAACCCTCAAACCTGTCCTCGTATGTCGGCTGGCGTGTAGGTTTCCAAGACCCAAATCTATTGACACGTTCTAATCAATCATTCCAGTAATCATTCATTCACTTGGTTGAACTCCCGCAAGGAACCTGTTGAGGTGCCTGCTCAAGAGTACATTTCTCTTATGCAACGATGGATCTCGGGCAAGATCGATAACACCGCTCTCTTCCCAACCGATCCTGCTGGCGTCTCATTCGCACATAACGCTGGCAACCCAGGCATTGCTGGTGCGACCTATGCTTCAGGTGGCCTCGATACCCCTCACTCATCTACGCCAATTCCTGCCGGCCCAACGTCCTTGAACGCCTCGCTGTCGCAACTTGCTGGCCCTGGCGACTGGGTTGGCAAGAGCAGTGGATTCCCGATTGAGTTTGTCGATGTTTGCCAGACTATTTTCCGCCAGATGTTCCGCGTCTATTCCCATCTCTATTGGGCACACTTTATCGATCCCTTTTACCACCTCAATCTGGAGAAGCCAATGAACAGCTGCTTCAGTCATTTCATCCTCACCGCCACCGAAATCGAGATGTTGAAGCCCCAGGAGCTGGAACCAATGCAACCATTGATCGACCTATGGGCCGCCAATGGCACTTTCCCCAAGGAGTCGAAAGCCTATGCGTGCGCTAATGTTAAGGCTGGTGAACGCTTGCTAGCACTTTCTGGTAGTCAGTAGGCTATGGTTACGTGGACACGAATATCGGATTGATGAGCAATTAGCTGCGATTGATGCTGACCTTGAGAGGGAAGTCTTCCTATGTATTGGGCCGGATGATGGCCCGAATCTACTTGCATGGTTTTGAGCGTCATGGCATTGTGATGCAGGGATCTGTTTCTTCATATGGCGTTGTCTGATTTCATCACATACAACGAAAGTTATTCTAAGCTGTAGATGATCATGAGAGGTTGCTATATCGGCACATGAGCAAATGAAAATATATCAACGAATAAATGATCCATTCCTGCTATTAAGTGCAAGTGAAGGAGAAGATGTCTTAGCGAGCAGGGTATCGGCCAAGCTTCTTCCAGTAACAGTATTTCGTGTCTCTTTCACACTCCCTCCATTTTCCTCCTTAAGCCGTAACTTCACTAATCTTATACTCAACAACAGCCGGCTTCCCAGCCTCAACGACGAACCGTCCACTAGCAACATAAATTTTCTGCTCAAGAGGCCTCAACTCATCACTTCCAGTCTCGAAAAGTACATGCATAACTACATCCACGATCAGTCCAAACTCCTATATTTTCAAGCCACTCTGACACATCCATCCAGCCATCTCCCATATGTTTCGAGGCATTAAAGGGTCAACTCACCAATATCACCAAAATCCGTCGACTTCGCATCTGCCGCACCTTGGAGCACAGCACCAATAGCAGGCGTAAGGGTCATGACACCGCTATACTTGTAGCTAATCACCGCTCCGCTCTTATCTTTCAAGACAGAGTTTACATCGAGACGCTATCTCTTTCATCAGCCTCCAATTCCATTTCCCAAAATCCTTCTAACGTAATAGAGAAAGGCAAAACGAAAAGGGACTTGGAATTAGACTCCAACAACGTACGAGATGCTTTCCAGAAGGGTCCTGGCGGATGAAGTCAGAGCCATGAGCGAATACGGCGTCGATTTTGATGGGGTAGTTGGCTTCGGAGCGGAGGTAGGAGTTTGTTGATGCGAAGGGGGCGATGGTTAGAGGTGCGCCTTTGGAGACGCTTCCGACGGCGATGGGAGGGTCGAGAACTATCTATGCAGTTGTGGGTTATCATACGAGTAATTGAAATATGCTAATGCCTTGCAGGGTATTGAGAGTAAGAAGGAGGGGAAAGTGTCCGGGGGCTTACGTGCGTGATGAAAGCAGGGACCAACTTTTGGAGGCCGGATATCTTGGTGAAATTCAAATTCTATAATGTATCTTACGTCCAATGCTAACTAGAATTAGAGAGACAAGAAAGCGAGAGGTTGATGTTCGGATTTCAAAAGTGATGTCGAGGACGAAAGTATCTTTTGGCTTATTTAAGATCTGCTGTACCTCCCCGCTGTCCCTTCTGTGCAACATGTCAATACCCCGCCTCTAGCCTCCGGTGTGTCGCCCATCGTCAAGATTGTGGAACTGGATTCTAGACTTAGAAGACAAGTATCATGAGCATTTAGTTTTTAGACATTGGGAGAATACCGCCACAGACAGGCATCCTTGTTTGCGGCAACCAGCAATTCGCTGCTATGGAGCATAAAAGAAACAAATGATGAACCGAAAACGTAGGGGTTCTAAAACTTTTGATTGATTTCTTGTCTCCTTTTGATCGCCAAACACCTGCAATAATCTAGCATTGGTATCGCAACCGTAATCAACACATCTAACACCACAACCGACAAGTACCATCCGCACCCGCGCTTACACACCACGGTTCTCTTGGATGCCAATCTATGTCTAGCACACCCAAATTGCTCTTGACTTTATGTCCTTTGAGTACCTTCACTGGCACTATCTGCGCATTTTCCATCATATCACTCACAACCTTTCCATGGAATATCTGCAAACTACCATCATCACTAGCATCTGCGAACAGTGGGAAGCCTCCCTTGTGATACTTGACCGCTCGGATGGCCTTCTGATGGAATCTCATAGTCTTGTATGGTCTCGTTGAAAGGTCAAGATCGTGCCATAAAAGTCGGCGATCATAGGATCCAACAATGAGATTGTCTCCTCCAGGATGGATGTCAAACGACGATATCCAACGAGCACCTGGTTGGATAATCTTGACGAGTTCTTGTTTTTGTAAGTCGTAACTTCTGATTGTGCGTTGTGTGGCGACGAAGAAGAGGGGTCGAGAGGGGTGGAATTGTACTGTTTGTGCAATACCTGGGAGGCGTCGGAAAGGAATTTGGGTGAGGTGTTTTGAGAGTGTGTGAATTGCGACAGCGCTCTTCTGGGCCGTTGGTGATACAGTGGAGAAGAAATCACCACGGCGATGCCAGCTGATGACCTTGACCGTAGTTCGTAGGGTAATCTTGATGAGAACCCCTTCATCTTCAAGACGAGAGCCAGGACGAGTCCATTTTGCAACAGGCTCTTTCCTAGCCCCATTAGCAGTGAGAGCTTGTGTCGCATTTGTCGCATGGCCGAAGCCTTTGTCTAGAAGCTCTCGGCTTGCCGCATCCATTTCAGGGTCGACGATGGGAGGTACGAGGAGGTAGACATCTTCTCCAGCAGCTGCTGACAAGATCACAGCATCTCTTCCTGGTCGCCACCTCACAACATTGACACCCTCATCATCGCCAATCTTTGCGCTCCATATCTGTCTGCCTGTTAAGAGTTCCCAAACACGTACGGTGCCATCATCACCACCACTAGCAAGCCAAATTCCTGAAGGATCAATTGCTAAACTCCTGACCCGACCTTCATGACCGCGGAAAAGAGTAGAGCATACTGTTGGGAATGGCTTAAGCTCCTCTGGTCTTGGTAATTTAGGAAGCAGTGATGCGGGGTCTATGTTGAGTCTGTTCTTACGAACACGAGGAGCCAAGTACAAGTCTAAAGATCGTTCGAATCGTTCATTAATGAACTTCTCGTACCCTGGAACCTTTCGTAATGAGCCGTATGAGGTTGGCAAGTATTCCTTTTCGCGATCTTCAGGATCGGCAGTCTCCCACGCCTGTTTTTCTGCCTTTGTGGGCAGGTATTCCGGAGGTGGATTGTAGCTCAAATCATATCCTGGTGGCGCTATCTTTGGGGCTGGGATGTTCATGATATGATCTGGACGGGGCACTTCGTCCTGCCAAATGTCATAGTGTGTTTCTTCCTCTTCTTCCTGTCGTTCTTCAGGCGGTCGGTAAGGCATTATCCTCCCTTGCCTAATAGCCCGCACAATTTTCATTACTCTCTTGGCCTCGTGCTTTGAAGGAAGGAATCTTCGCTTAGGCTCTGGAGCAGCACTTAAAGGCATAATTTCCTCAATGCCAGTGAAATATTCAACGGTTGCCTGAAGTAATTAATTAGCATTAATCCACATGGCAAAGCTCGTGTAATCAGTCTTACAGGATACGGATCATAGCCATCTTCCGGCATCTCATTTGTCTGTATCCTCCGAAGTATCTCCAATTCATCTTGGCTCAAATTGAGAGGCTTGCCAGTGGCAGGATCAGTAAGGCCAGTCCACCCTTTGGGAATATCTATGCTGTCCAATAGCGCATCCAGGGCTTCTCCTTTTGCGGGCCGCATGATTTTCTTGCCATTGATATCATAGCCAATGTGGGGATACGAATCGTAGAATGACAGAGGAATATCCCCAATGGTGTTTGTTGTAATAGGCGCATCCGAGTCGTCGGAGTCGTATACTGGGTCTATCTCCTCATAGACGTATCGCTCTCCCCCATTCGCATCGGTAGTAATTGTGTAATTTGGCTTATCTTCGTCCTCGTCAGGTAATGGCTTCTCGCGCAAAGCGACGACTGCATTCTTCGTGCCATTGCTCTTGACCAAACTTCCTATAGGCTCTTCTGCTTCACTACCACCATCCTCGGAGGGGATCTCATCGCTATCCAGAGCCTCAAGTGCATCCAAGTCTAACTCTTCCTCATCGCTATCTTCCTCTGCATCACTTTCCTCGTCCGAATCTTCACTCTCGCTCTGGGACAAAATGCCCTCCAGTAATCCGTCTCCAAATTCGGCCTCCGATTCGACGTCCGATTCCGAAGCCTCATTATGTTCGGCCGGGACAGATTTGCGTTTTCGATCAATGGCAGAGGGAGCCATCGTGAGCAAATTTTTGGGAGGTGGGGTCGAGGCTCGATTGATGGATGTCTCAATTTCTTCAAAATTATTTTTTATCTGCACTTAAGCTTATCGTCTAGCGCGCAATCTAGAAAGAAGACCCTATAAAAGTAACGCGCTCGCGCTTCTAGGCCCCTCACTAAGATAAAGGAGAGAATAGGCGCGCGCGATGTTGCCTGCCGCGACCATGATCGATTCTAAAACAAGTCCTAGAACCGCAATCCTTCGACAAAAGACCACGTCTGTGTACAATGCAGTAGTAGCCGTATATACCAGCAACTTATGGCATCCAACTCGTTACCTTACCTTCCCCAGCGAGGAAACAGATCTACTCTATTGTTCACAGACCCCCTAAGTTTGGTGAAGGAATACATCTAACCGCATGCCTAAAAAGTCAGCATTCGACCCTTTCCTCACTTCGCTCAACTTGGACCCACAAGCCCTAGGCTACACGGGTAGGATAATGTCTACGCCTCAAAAGAAAGAGAAGCATCGTGCTTGCGATGAGTGTAGTAAGTGTAGTGCTATGGCACTCCCAATGGTTCCGGTCACTGATCGAATTAGGGACTCGAAAGCTCGCATGTTCTAAAGATTCCGATGGTTGCGAGCGCTGTAAACGCGAAGCAATCGTATGCCATTATTCCGAGCAAAAGCCTATGGGACGGCCACGAAAGAGACAGTTTATAGAGACAGCGAACGATAATCCTCCACCGAATCCATCCTTGGAGCCACTTGAACCCGGTCAACTGCCCTTAGTAGCCAATGACTACGGTTATCCCAGCGACGCCAACATAGCTCAACCTTTTTATATAGATGCACAGTCAGGGCTTGAACTACCAGAAGCTACTATAAAAGCAATTACGGAAGTTAGCAGTGGTGAACACAGAGAACCTTTTCACTTTGGGGAGCGAATGAACTATGGGAATATCAATTTTGAGTCCAACACAGATGAAGCCATAGATCCAATTCTTGATCCGGCATTATCATCGGGCTCAAACCCTTCAGCCTCCGACGCTGGGAGTAGCCCATCCCAAAACCAAAAACCATTAGCACCTTGCAGCTGCCTGGCATCCATGTACCTTGCACTTGCGTCTCTCCAACAACTCCCAACGGATATTGTTCTGGCCTTGAAGACGGTTCGTCAGGCGGCAATGACAGCCTCGTCGACGATTTGGTGTCCACAATGCGGGGCCGTTCTAGTTGATAAGCCCAAACCTCCTATCGAGGCTTTCCAGAATACCATGTTATTGGGGACTCTTATTCCCGTCATAGCCAATGCCTATAAACGGCTATTAGATATGATCGATATAGAAACAGATGCTGCGGTGGCCTTGGGTCAAACAAAAACCTTTAGGTTTCATGATTACGGAGGTTTATGTGGCATTCAATCATCCATAAATGAAACCATGGATTGTATTGAGAAGGAGATGATGTTTAACACCGTCGAAATGCCACCTGTACAATGGCGTACGACAGTGAGGGCGTTGCTCCGTGTTGATATCTACGGACACGACCTACCTGCCTTCAAGCATAGAGGGTTGAAGGCTTTGGTTGCGGAAATAGAGGAGCGTCAAAGGACTCGCCACGCGTGGCTGGAACTTCACCCAGACGCTGGCATAGTGGGTGAGAAAGACCAATGTGCGGGAGACCAAGTCCAGTATGTATTTGTGACGCAGTCCTTTTCTCTTCAATGCGTCTCGAGAGTTCCAACGCGTCTACTTGATTTTTGAGTCATGTCTTTGCACGCCCTATTCCGAGATTGCCTCTATAATTAGGAAAATCCTGAAAATCTCTCGCGGTTGCAACATATTCAAAGAATCATTGCTGATCACCAAGCATCCATAGTGGCTGTCTCCAAATCCTGGGAATGGCGAGGCACGCTATAGACCAGTTAGTTATTGCATAAATGCGAAAGTTTCTGTCGACAGCAATGAATGAGGAAGTGATGCTTGCCATCCACTCTAGTTTCGTTATCGCTTGCGCATAATCATAGAGCACGTACTCCGATATCTTCACAAGGATGGACAATGCGAGAATGCCAATCATGACTGCATACCTGGTAAAATTGGATGAGCCAGTTCGACATCCCCTGAGCTTGGATTTTATGCCAGGGTTCCACACTCTGGCTGAATTCAGGGTGGTTCTGCTAGAGACCTGCCTGGGGTATTCAGATTCCAGTTTCCTTGAGTCGGTAAGCCTTCTTACATTAACAGCCTTACGAAATGGCTCCGCGTCTAACGTTAAGCTCAAGCCTTTCAAGCAACTCAGAAGTCCGAGTCAATTTTCAAGCAGCTAGTACAGTACCTAGGACCGGAATCTGACTTTACGAATCATTCGTATAGTTTTACTTGAAGTCAAGATGCTTCCGCAAGTACGAGTCTCCCGCTCCATCGGAGTAATAGACTTGTTACCGAGCGCGTTATTCGTATATGCATTGTCAATGAATTGATGCAAGTACTGCGTTAGTCAGCCTTGAGCTTCGCCAAGTAACTGCTCAGATAATTAGTACCCTGTCTCATCGTTCGACTTGCTTCGGCATACAGGCTGGGGCCTTCATGCACCTGCTAAACGTACTATTTACAGGCTGCCGGTGTCTGAATTGAACTTAGTGAGGGAGGTAGTGATGGGGGCTTAGGATGCATATGGAAAATTGCTAGATTGAAAAGTTCATGTCTACTTGTATCAAGTCAGAAAAATCGCAGAGCATTTCCCAAAACTTTCGCAAGACAATGAACAGAAGAGTTATACTGAAATTACCAGAGACTGTTTCAGTGGTCCTATATTCAAACGTTCAAACTTTCAAACTTTTCAGACTACCCACAACGTATTCCATCAATTGGCCAGCTTCTTGGCTCGTCATATTTTCCTTCGCAAACAGATAACGCTCCACCACTTCTCTATACAACCTACCAGTGTTACTACTCAGCTTCGGTACAAGATTTTGAACATCAATGTCGTCCTTAAACCTTTCTGGAAGGTAGTGAGGCTTATGATATGTTTGCAGTACTTTCCACAGTCCGATTTCAAGAAGCACCAACCCTAGGCTATATATATCATAGCTTTTACAGTACGGTTTTCTTGACATCCCGTTTAGAGAATTGGGATGGCGGTGGAGGTCCGTGGCGGCGTGGTTCTTTGATGCCACTGACATTTCTCCCATGCTGTCTGGCCTTGATGCATTGAATCCTAGCAGAAAGGGAGAGGATATATCAGGAATGCTCGCTGCTACAGCAGTGGATCTTGTGGCAGACCCAGAGAAAGTTGAAGGGAAGAATAAAACGTTTGTAGTACACAAGGATTTGTGGAGCCAGTCGAAGGAATGCAACGACCATAGGGCGATCACCTATGTGTGTGCAAGTTTGAACCGGACCCCTAGATCCGGACCCCTAGATCCGGACCCCTAGATCCGGAGTTCTGAAAACGTTACTGGATATCAGGGTTTTGAGATTGGAGGAGGATGACGATGGTGCTTTGTAGACCAAGCCTTAACGACTCGTCGTGCTTCCATTTGTGTATCCGATGCAGTCGAGCGTGTGCAGGTCCGGATGCCGGTGGGATGAACTGTGAATCATCCTAGCCAGATCATAATCCTCACATGGTTCAATCTCGCATCGAAATCCTCCTTGTCGTATGATACCCACTCAACCAGTACCTCTTCTGGCGCCGTTGTGTCAACGGATTCTTATATGCCCCATGGCTGCGACTCGCCACCGCGTTTGAGTCTATAATTGTTAAATCCGACCTTTGGATCTTCAGCGCATACGTAGGCTTGAAGCCTTTCGTCGGCTTCTTATCCAAGTTAATCCTCAACTGCTTCAATTTCGCTGAAGAATTGAGTTGCGGGTAAACACCACTACTTGCCTTCTCCAGCAAATCCAGCTGTCCCAAATCCCTCTCCGCACCCTGAAGCAACTCATTCCGCCACGTTCTCTGCAGCGTCTCTAATCTTGCGGGTGGGAAAAGCTGTTCAAGCCCATCATTAAAGTGATACAGGTTATTATCCCAACAGTTTTGTTCCTGACCCGCAAGCGGTTGACGCTTCTGAAGTACTAGTATATACATCGCCCCCAAGCAAGCGTTTGGTACTCGAGTATTCGAGAGCTCATAATTTATTCTCCTGATATTTCACGTACTTTAAAGTATTCACGTTTTCTATATAATTCTCGCTTCTCTGAGCTTAATGCACTCCTGAGTGGGATCTTGGATAAAATCTAGAGGTACCTATAGTATTTGATATCTCATACAAGCGCTTTGTATTGGCGCTGATAGAGTGAAAGCACGCAAGCGTCTTGCATAATCCCACGTCAAAATGGTTCTGCTGCATCCCAGATGGCTATGCTTTTGCGGTTCCCCTATTTTCCCGCACTTAAAGTATTTTTGTGGCGGATTTCAACTGGGTTAAGTGATCTTTTAATGCCTGGCTCTTGACAAAAACCGGAATCTGAATGCCTTCGTTGCAGAAGAGCTTTTATTTTATATACCTCGGAAGCTTTAAGATATTCTACCTTTCCATCTTTTAGATGGATATATCGATTCTCTTAAAGGCGGTTCACCATTCTCAAGCTTGATTATTTTCGTTGCATTTCTGGATCGAGAAGCTCAAGAGAAACAAGAAAGCAAGTCCTCTTGGACTTGAAATATAATAGAGAGTTGACAGTAGTGAGTGAAGGCCATGATGGAATGATGAAGTTGTCTTTGGGTCCTCGCACTCAAGGAGGCCCTGCAAACAACCCCGCGATATGAATCGTTTTCCAACGGCCAAATGCTCCCCCGACCTGACGTCCTCTAGGACAGTATCTCGGTGTTAATTTCAGAGCATCAAATGCCGAGATTTGCTTTCATACGGACTTTTCATCTAATGAAAAGATGAACGAGTTTCCGCACTCGCAGAACACTTTAAGCCACAAGAACCTAGGGATTCGGCTTCACATGTAATACTGACTTCAGTACGGTAATTACCATAATATCGCTAATAAGTTGAATACAGGTGTTATTCCACGCTAGGACTCGTTGTAGTAGGGGCTAAGCTTGTCTAAGCACTAAACCCACCTTAAGACCCATTCGAATATAGACAGGTCTAAGCCTATCTGGGCCGTTACCCACTCTAATATGCATATAGTCCTAGCAGATTTTAAGCCTAGACTTTTTGCTATATATAGACCATATTTAGCTAATATCCAGCTATATATATGCCTGACCCACTTTACAATATTACATAGGGAAAAAGTTCATTACAAATAATGTATCGCAGACTTGGTTACGATAATTACTATAAGGTTACAATCCGGATCGCTACAAGAACCAAGGGTGGGAGACAGTGGAAAGCTGGAATCATTTGATCGGCGACCAAATGCAAGGAGTGACTACAAGAGGCTCGGGCTTCCCTTCCTCTACTCTCGTAGCGAGCGGCAAATGATTGGATCGGTCTGCTGAGGAAATTATTCGCGTCCGTCGTATACTCCGTACAAAGCGAACTGGGGCCGGAGACTTTTCATGACGCTACTTGCACTCGTACAGCGACCACTCCACTCCACAGGGCATTGTTTGTCTATCGCATCTTAAGAGTTTGCTAGTCAATGCACGCCGAGATTGATGGATGATCCTCCAATAATAACTAGCCCAGGAAGAAAGAAAGAAAGATGAAATGTTGGCAAATTAGGTGCTATTTATCTATTATTAATCTGCCATTAATATCCTATCCAACTTCGGCCCATCTGACGGTGAAGAAGAAGCCATGCATACAGTACCTATGGGTCGGCCAAGACGTAGGTAGCCTTACGGTCGACGGAGGTTGGAAATGTCTCTTTTCGAATCACTCGTAGCACGGTACGGTTCCCCATCTTGCAGCCGACGTTGACGCCACTGCATGAGATGAGGGCCTGACACAAACGTGTCTTCCACGAGGTGTGTTCGGTGAGATGTTCCGAAAAGCCACCTTCTGATTCTTGCAAGGATTGTTTAAGGTTAAAGCGCTTCATCTCGCGCCACACGGCCCAGCCATGGGGTCTTTTGCCGTCTTAAGGTCCTGCGTACAGTACTGTACCTAACCTTAACTGAGATCCGGGAACTTAGTAGACGTTTAATTACAGTAGCAGTCCCTTGTACTCCGTATCGTACTAACCATCAGAGCCACGCTTGTCGGAAACCTCTGTACGCCGTTTCGACATGTTCGGAAATCAGTACCCCTGGAAGGATTTTAAATCACAAGTGTGACTGACGTGTAAGCCAAAAATAGAAAAAGTGTGATCAGACCGCCGAACGTCCCATGCGGCCTTGCCTATACTGTACGGAGGTACGGAGGTACTGGTACTGCACGAGAAGGATGCCCAAACCGAACACGGAAGGCAGGCGCGTTTCGTTTGAAGTTCTGCGCAGGATCTTTCCTCTCTCTCTCTTTTCTACGGAGGTACTCTAGAATCTCCTAGGATACGTCTCCTTCTGCCCTCGCTGGCTGTTGTACTGCAGCTGTGGGCCATGCAGCCGGCACAGCGGCAGACGAGACGTGGAATGCCTGCAAAACGTGGTGAGTGGAGGGCAGGTAGGAGGCAGTGGGATGTGGGATGTGAAGGAAGACCGCAGCTTGCGTACCCAGGTAAGAAAAGGTTAGGACTGTCAAGTACAAGTACATGGCAACAGCAGCATAATTGGACGGCATGCATGTAGCATGCATGTAGCATGCGGCGCGGGGAAGAGGCAGCAGGTGGGCAGTCTTCCAAACTTCCATGCGTTGAAAAAGAACAACCTTGTTGTTGTCTCAAGTCCCTTCCCCGTTGCTGCTTTGCCATGCTTTGCTTTGCTTTGCTTTGCCTCGCATTCGCCTCGCCTCCCTCGCCACTGCTAGTTGAAACATCCAACATGGTCGCCAATTCGTTATCAGATGGCCCCCGATACATATCTCTTGCAATCGATGAATGGCTATGTCGTCGTGGTTGGAGAGTGCATAAGTAAGCTTTTATTCCCGGTCCGCCTCGTACATCCGTACCTCGTACTTCGTACCACTTGCTTGATCTTGAGCCACGCTACGCCAAGATTTACAATCATTCGAGAGGTGCCCCTGCGTAATTCTGTTTTTGCTCCGAGATCTGCAACATTACTGCCCTTTGAATAAAAACTACGGCAAGAATGCGGTTCAACCGTGAACTTAACTCATTTGAGTTACACCCTTGATTAGCTCCATGTGTGGTGTAGTGTTAGCGGGTATAGCTTCATCCTGGCTGCTGGGGAATAGTAGCTTTCCCCATTTTTGAATATTTCCTAGTATCCAGTACCACCTCAATTTAGACAAGTTGAGAGGACCATAATAACAACAACAACAGGGGAGAGATTGGATGAATACTTCTCGAGCGTTGATCCTAGCAATGCGTCATTCGGCGGAACGTTCTCCCAACCATGGCCCAAGTCCATCCCATATTCCTAACACCGAGCACGGACAACGGAGGCCGAACGCCGTAATTTCAGAAGCACCGTTTTCTCTCTTTTCCCCTCTGTTGTCTATCTCACTCATATCATGAGGCGAGCCTGGTTGAAAGTTTGTTTGTGTATTAAGTATGGCCGTATAAATGTGCATCCGTAATTCGTCTAGTTGTGCGCCCAAAACACCATCGCTAGGTCCAAAATGACTTTTCCTATCTTGAAAATACCCCTCCCCTCACCAGCCCGGAAGTAAAGCAGCCCCCCTTTGCCGCCTCCATAAGTTTGCGCGGTTGACCCAATCCCGCCCTAGTAGCCATCCCCAGCGCTCCAATATGGCCTGCGAGAACTCCCAAGACATCTCATTCAGAGGATCATCTCCCCAGATGATCAGCTGCCCCACATCCTCTCTTTCTAATCCTGTAATGCCTATTTCTACAATAAAACCCTGTGCTGCATCGGATCCGGCCTGCAGCAAGCGCTCGCGGAGAGACGGAGATGCTATCATGTCGATTCCCCAATAGTGCGGTGTTTCGAGTTGCGCCTTGCTTGGCTTTAGAACACTTGGCAGGCTATCACTCAAAGACCGTAAGACTGCAAGATGCTTTTCAGGATTCGTGATGATTGATGAATCCGAGTAGAGCGGCCGGAAAATTTGATTGATTTCCGCTCTCGCTTTGTTTCGATCGTATGGTACCAGAGACATGCTATCGAACCAAGTATTAGTTTTACTGAAGTCCGATCAACGCTTCTGCTACTAACCGTGACTGCTGAGGGACAGCTCTCTGTTGGCCTGCCCCCTGAGGTGCTTGAACCTCGGCCGATTGAGACATATTCATAGCCTGAAAAGGGGGTCCCATTGTAGATCGAGAACTTCGGAACCCTGATGACTCAGGTGAGCTTTGTGAATTATGACGGAGGCCGGATGGATGTACCATTGAGTAAGGCGAAGTGGATAGAGCAGATGGGTCGGTGTATGCTTGCATGGCTGGGGATAACATTGAAGATGTCAAAGATAGAGCCCCCATAGGCATCATGTCTGAAGCCATGGTTGCTGGAGGGCTACCAGTGCCCGACAATGATGTGCCTGAGATGGAGGGGGAGAGTGAATATGCACGTCCCTCATTTGAGAGAGATGGCACGTTCATTGATGCGGGTATAAGGCCGTGGGATGAAGGCGTTGAAGAGCCATAGAGCTGTGCTCTGAGAGTTTCATTCTCTCTCCGCAGCTCGTCATTTTGATATCGCAGACGTTCGATCTCTTCTGATTGCTCCGAGCTCTGTTCTTTTTGCGCCTGCTCGAGATTCTTAAGATGGTCCTTCCTTCTACGACCTGAGGCATTCAATTAGTTTGTGCGCGGGTAGGAAGTAACTATGTGGTTAAGCGTACGGAATTCTCTTTGGGCGAGTCGATTGTACTGGAGATTTAGGTTAGTTATTGACATCAAGTTGTATGCATATGTGAAAGTGCATACCTCGCGCTTGCGCTCTTCTTTGTCTGCTGCCGAATCCATGTTGCAAGTGATAGAATATCGTCTTGAGTGTTCCGTGACGGTTTGAAGAGTCATCGTGGGACAGAGGAGGACTTTTAAACCCTTGGGGATATATTCGAGCATACAACGACTTTAATAAGTAAATCCTGCAGCAGGGGATCGGTTCAGATTATGTACCCTGCTCAGTCTCCGTCGTCCTGCCGCCACTCTTTCCAATCTGCATGCCCCCCCCCCCCCCCTCCACCCGTTAGCCCATGCATACCCTTTTGGGAGAAGGACTCTGAAGAGGGCCACTGTTCCATTTTAGCTTAGCCTCAGCCTTGGGCCACTACTGCCATCCTAGTGTTGGAACATCGAAATTAGGACGGCGTCAGCTTGATCGACCCAAGGATCATTTTTCCCATGTCTTTTGAGAAGCCACTAAAGCTCCGCTCACTTGTAGCTTCGATATTTCCACACGAGGATTTGGAAGAGTCAGCCCAGCCTTAGTAAGTTCGAGGCTGGTATCAAGGCTGAGCCTTTCCGCCCGTATAATTGGAAGTAAGAAGCGCGTCTACGCAGGGCTAGGTGCGCGTGGGTCCCCTGCCACGAGACCAAGAGCCTTGAGTTAACGCTGTTGCGGAGCCGGTGCACTACGACTGGAAGCTTAAAAGTCGAGCGTACGAAGTATCCAATCCTGTGGGGGAGTGTCATGGAGCTTGTAAGCCGGATCCGAGTACGGAGTAGAAAGATCTCCGAGAATAGAGTCGGCTTTTAGTTCACAAGACGGTGTACTGTACGAAGTATTCCGTGAGAGATAGATACCCCTTCCTACGCCTTCCCGCGCTGTTTCTATCCACAGCGGTTATGCTGTTCAAAACCTAGATCCTAATCATATGATGAAGTTTCTTGGGATATTATGCAGAAACAGTTGTAGTTTTAGTAAAACACTTGTTCTGCTATCGACATTTAATGGGCGGTGCAAACTGCGGAAGAGGAAACGTGGGGTACTACAGCGGTACCTACTGTACATACGAAGTGTGCTTAGGTACCTTATGCATCCAAACTTTGTATCCGCGGGGATGAAATGGCCGCCATCCAGACATTGTTGCTGCCAAACGCAACGGCTAGCTATACTTCGTAAATCTTTACCAATCAAACCAGCGCGATTCAGCCCCAGACCATCCTAGTCCTTGCATCATACAGTAATGTAAAGTACAGTACAGTACTGTGTTTACTGTACTTAGGAGAAAGACTTGAAACACCTGTCCAATTGATCCCATGTAACAGAAGGCGCAGTGGCAGTGCAGCCTTGCTGTCACCAACGGACAGCCAAGCGCTGTTGAAAGAATGGAGAACAAGGAGCAGAGAGAAGCCTCATAGGATCGCCGTTCAGTGAAGACACTGCCGTACCGTGGTCTGACCGTCTGATCCGCCATGCTGGTTCGTGCGATGTGACCGACCAACCCTCCCCAACTCCAACCCAACTCGACTGCAGCATAAGCAGTAGCAGCAGCTTACGAGTACAGTACACGACAGAAAAAACGTGGGAGCCGGCCCTACTTCCATTGCTCCCCTTCCGCCTCCTCCTCTGAAGAACAATAATTCAGTTGTTCTAGAGACATGCCCAGCCCAGCCAGCCTGACTTCTGCGGCGCCAAAATTTAAGCGATGTACTGACTCATTTAGGTGAGCTTCTCATACTACTCGCGAGTAAGAAGAACAGCGGACAGCTACAAGTACGATAGTAGTAGTAATATTTCGCGTTAAAAGTGCCGGTAACTTTTAGCGTAAGGCGGTTTCAAATCAATGGATAGCAGATTGGGTATTGATAAGCGTTCTATATCAGTCCTCGACAGGACGTGCGGCTCGTCACCTTGATCTTGTTTAAGCATAGGACCAAAGACCGTGCGTAAATCTGGCTGCTCTGCCCACAATTTGAAACGAAACAAGAGACGGGAGGCGACTTGGCAAGCCCGGCTTTCACCCTCCAAAGCATGGAGTACTTCGTATGGTTGGTGCTTAATCTTCCCCGCGCCTGCGCTTGCCTTTAATAATTTTTCAAGGGTAGGCTCAAGTGCGGCGCCGCTGGAGGAGGACCTTTTCTCGAAGGATGATTCGAGAAGGTCCCTCCCTGTTGCTCCGTAATGTAACCAGTGATATCGTACGGACTTACCGACAATAAGAGCACTTCCCGAATGAAGCTTGCGAAGGATGATTCAAGATCAAATAATAACTAGAGATACCAAAACTCCCCATGCCCACTAAATTAGTAATACGCGGTGGGGTTCTGGTTTACTCCGTAAAGTTGAACTTGGGAACTTGGCGAAACATGATGCTATTCGCAGCATGGGACCTTCCCTGTCGCCATGCATTAAACTCCTTGCGATCCACAGCGGGCAGTGTATTCTGCAGGACCTTTAACCGAAGCCTTCGTGGCAAATATGCCGTTTGAAGACTTTGGAAGTTCTATTGTCTTGTTCGGGAATTTCGACAAGTCTTCTTGCATCTGATCACAGAGGTATAATATTCAGTACGAAATGAGACTTCACCTCTTACATTAAAAGAAACGGTATCAAAATCAATAACAATGAGCATAATGCTAGAAAGTATTGTTGCCAAGAGAGTGGATTCAGCCACAGAACTTGTCAACGGCTTTGGTCTCGATGCAGGGATCCAGGAACATATACAAATCCAATCTCTCGGGTTCGAGTAGATCTTGCGAGTGCGGGAGGTTGGTGTTTCTAAAACAGGCATGGCGCACGTGCTCAATTGATTCCGTTCTCTTCGACGACTTCAGGGACTTAAACGACGATACTCAGATGCTTGAACAAGTATTGTGTTCATTTGTCATTAAGTTTTGCTTCCGCAATTTTTATTGAACCAACGCCACAAATGCCAGGATGCCAGCTGTCTCAATCTACAAGCGTTGAGGCTGAGATTCTTAACCGCTGTATCTTTCGGTATGGCCACGCCCTGCCGGCTGTGTAATTGCATCTCATCATCATGAGAGGGTTGCTTCTCTGAGAATTTGTGGGGCTTCTAGAAGGCAGTGCCATGAATCTACGCCTCCTGCGCCCATCTCAGTTCTCTCAGAGGTTTCTCTTTCCCTGCTGCAGCCCTGCTGCCATCTGTCTCTGCTCGCCATGCCCAGTACTCCCCCAATCGGACCTCTGCGTACGATGCGTAATCGAAGTCAATTTGTGATATAGTAGCTTGGATCAGGGCCCATATTCCCCAGTAAAATCCAGGGATTCCGCGGAAGGTATCGATCTCGTTGAAGAGCTTGTCGACTTCGGCTTCTTCGTCAAACTCCTTATCATGATCTAGATGGGCGAAGTAACTTCGTATATATTCACGAATGAAGTCACGTCGCTGAGATTGGGTTGGCAGAAGACCATGCTCGCATTCAAATCCGCCCCACTCAGCAAAATGGTTTGAGATATCGAACGCCGCAGGAGAGGGTGTTGCATACTCGTAGTCGATGAAACTGACAGTCGCAGGCATACTGGGCTTCGTGACTCCTGCGGAGCGTGGCTGTATGATCACATTACCACTTAATAGGTCGCAGTGAGCGAATACCAGCTAGCGAAACGTCAGCACAACTCAAAAACAACATGCAATCCTTCAGTCACTGTTGGGAATACTTTCAATGCCCTCATTGCCAATACTCTGCATAAGCACGGGAAAACTCACACTATTTTCCCCCAGACCAGGCCGATTACTGAACTCGCCAACCAGGCGCATTAACTCCTTCTGCAAGTTGGCTTGTCTGGTCTTTTCTGCATCGGATGTAACTGGAAGTGCATATATCCACTTTTGCATAACTGTCCAAACATTAGGAGCAAGCTTTCCGGGTGCAACATTGTCAATTGCTTGCTGCAACGCTGGATCCTTCTTACTCGGGGTTGGTGCGGAGATTCCGAGCTGTTCACTTCCTGTGACCTCTGTCGCTAGGGGCTCTCGAGAGGATGGTAGACAAGGAACAACGGCGTGCCATTCCGCCAAACGTCTGGCAACTGCACGCCATATGTCTTCTTTCCGTAGATCCGCTGGCTGTGTCACTGTTCCTCGAATGAAACGATACAGCATCCCATTATGAAATCGAGCTAGTAATTGGGGGGCAAGATTGTGCTGCATGAGCAATTCATGATTTTGAGTCTCCCTCTCACGATCAATTATCAGAGAGGTACCCTGGCCGTATGCTCTCAGCAAAACAGCCTCACTATCTATCTCCTCCTCCGATAGACCTGGTCTCTTGTTCACGAGCTTCAATAACGTATTTGTAATTCCATCTGTAAAGCGAACTAATTCGACCTTCCCGCCGTTATTCTCCCATTCCGGCCTGAGAGTATAGATAAGGCGCAGAGCTGAGGTGTTTGAGTCGGCTTGATTAAAGCTGAGAGGTATGAATCGAACCTTTCCGACAGCAGATTTGGGCTCTGAAGCCGTCGCCATTTTGTTGACTTTCGGAGGTAATGAGGGGGAAAGTCGGTGCAGATTGATGAATGCTGGAAGATGTTAAATCATAGTCTTAATGGACGAGAAAGCCACTTACTATAGTTTAGCTATGGTGCGTGAGTGAAATGGGTAGAACACCAGATAAGCTCCCAAGTTGATGGAGTTGAGTTCAAGTCGTTATCTGGAGACAGGTTCGTTCCAATTGCGTCATTCAACAGGTTCTAAGAAATTGCGGAGACTCCTTCCTGGAATCACGTATCCTAGCATGTGCTTGACAAGGGTGCGTGTTGTAGAACAGATGATATGTGCGCTGTGTCGAGAGCTGTACTCGTATAATAATTACGGTATCTAGGGTTATTTGAGAGGTGGGGGGCCGTTGTAAGGTGGGGTTGTTGAGGGCAAAAGTTTTCTACTCCTCGCACTGAATGGGTGAATCGTCTCCGCAAAGTGACTCCAAAGAGTTGGTGATTAATAACGGGAATGCGTGAAGGTTTCGACAAGACAATAAATTGAAGTGGATAATAAACAAACCAGTCCACGCGGCTATGACAGAAGTAGGACAGGGTCGCGTGACGTGCACCCCTTTTTGAAAAAGGACCCTGAATCCGGTGTAGCCGCAAAGGTGTATATGAATGTCATAGGTCACGTGAGTATACCATCCGCAACCAAACTCCTTGTCTTGGATGCAGGATAGCTGAATCAATAACTTTTATTCTCTTCTCTGTTTGTCACCCTTTAACAGAGTCTGGCACTTTCGCTCTCTGATGATAGAATGCATACGGTCCCATGACCTTAGATCGTAGGTTTACCTTCAGTATCAAAAACTAAGACTTCCTAAGCATCCGTCGAAGTATTACAATTTCAACAACCTGGTTCGAACTTCAAGCGAATATGCTGCTAGTCTTATAAATAACACCCTCATCGAATGTTAGCAAAGCTCAATTGCCTATCACTCTTATCGGCAATCTCTAATCACAATATATGCACTACTCTTGGTGGTGGCTTGAATATCTTTCGGGAGACTTTTAGTTATCCACGCCAAAGAGAGGTCAAGCTACATCGACGTCTACAATTATGTCTTCTACTATTCTTATCGTTGCTTGGAAGTCAGGCAGAGACAGCCATGTCTCAAGACGAGGAAGCTAACGAACACACTCAGCTCCTGGACCCTAAAGTAGAGTAGCTCAATTGAGTGGACACAGACGTGGTAGCACAAGGAGCAATGACGTTGAGTTAGAAGATGCCTCATCAATTATATCCTCCCATTGTCCAAAGGAGAGCGAGCTCTAGCAGAAACTGCAATAGGAGAGCGCCTGTCGTACAATGATTACACAACCATTGACTGGCTACATGATTTTGGTAGAATTCCAAGTCGATAAGCCTGTTCCATACTGATATCTGATGAAGATCAAAGATTCGTACCTATATAGGGCTATAGAGTCTATCAAAGTCTCAAGGGTCGTTGCCTCGCTGCCTCGCTGCCTGGGATTCATATCAAGGATGGGTACCAGCTTCATTGATTGGCATCCTCACAGCCATTGTATCGTTTCTCGTTGGTGAGCAGCTAAATACCCATATGTCCTCCAATTGCTACCTTTCGACGCTGACCTATTACCAAAGATATCGCCGAAGCTACCATCAGCGACTACAAGCTTGGATACAGCTCATCGAGCTTTCTCAAGAATAGAGAATCATGCTGTATCAAGAAGAGCCCCCTGCCCGGGATCATGGACAACGTTAGAGAAGACTGCCTGGCGTAGAATATCTGGTCTGACAACTACTGGGGAAAGTTTGGGATATACATTGGTTCTGCTCTGCTCTTCGGCATCATCGCCGGGACCGTGACAATGACCACAAGAGCCAAATTACCAACAGCAAAACAACACGACCAAGACCCAAGATTCAAAGGGCGACCTAGGTCTCTCCACTGGCAAATCTATGTCCCTGGCAGCTGGAAGTGGGATGCCAGAAATAAAGACTATCTTGTCCGGATCCGTCATTCCCCATTTTCTGGATTTTAAAGTCCTCCTGGTCAAAGCCGTTAGTGCGACACTCGCCGTTGCAACCGAATGTGTGTTTAGGTAAAGAAAGACCATTTATTCATATCTCTACATGTGTAGGATACCTCGTTACGAGTTGTTTCCCCAAATACAGAGATAATGGAAAGAAAATGCGGAGATGCTGAGCGTTGCCTGTAGCTCTGGCCTCAGCGTCGCCTTTGGTGCTCCAATAGGTGGAGTTGTGTTTTCTTACGAGGTGATTTGAATACACCCCTTCTTCTATGGGATTGCGCTAACGATATATCAGGAAATTGGCACATATTCCCCTCGCAAGGTCCTATGGCGTGCTTTCCTCTACTATTTGTTTGCAGCAGTTGTACCCAAAGCTCTGAATCCCAATGAAACAGACAAGCTAGTTTTTTTTGTAACTTGTAAGTGACTTTTCGCACTTTGTTATATTGTCTCTCGCCGAAATCATGATGTTTCGGAGGGTTTGTGACATACAGAAATTTTCCGATTCAGCAATACTGATTTAAGAACTTGCAGGAAACCAAATACTAAGTCAATTACCTCCCAGAACACTATCTAGTTTTCATCTTCTTCGACATAGTAGGAGAGCTCTTCGGTGGCATCTTTTGCAAAGCAAACTTACTCTGGTCTAAAACCTTCCGCAAATACTCTATCAGCAGAAACCCAATCCTCGGACTCGCCCTTGTAGTCCTCGTCACAGCCCTCCTCCAATACCCAGACCCCCTAACCCGCGCGAACCCGCGGACCCGGCGACGTCATAATCAAGAACCTCCTCGTCGACTGCCGGAATCCTGAAGCATCGTGGTTATGCGCCCAAGAAGCGCAGGAACAAAAGGGCCACTACTACGGCTGACTCGTCTACGGCACGGTCGTAAAACTCATCCCCACCATCATAACTTTCGGCTACAAAGTCCCCTCTTGCACCCTCATTCCAGCCCTAGATTTCGGCGCTCTCTTCGGCCGCCTAATCGGGCAAGCAATACCGGATATCTCGCCCGGAATTTTCGCCACGGTTGGCGGCGCGGCGTTTCTTGCAGGCGTCTCGCGCATGACCGTCTCTCACAGTTATCATGTTCGAATGCACCTGCGAAGTGGACTACATCCCACCCTTCATGATCGCAATTCTGGTAGCGAAATGGGTCTCGGATGCGTTGAGTAGTGAGGGCGTGTATGATCTCGCGCAGACGGTATTGGAACGTCCGTTTTTGGATCCGGAGCATGCCTTGGGCATTGTGAGGGATGAGGGAGATTACTGTTGATGTTGGGTCGGAGTGCAAGGTTTCGAAACCACTGCTGTTGACTAAGCTTTCGCAGCTCAAGGCTAGGAGACTTATGGTCGCGGGGCTTGTTCTGGTTGATGGCGATGGGATGTTGCATGGGTATCTTGCAGAAGGAGAACTGGACTTCGCTATCCATGAATATAGCGTGCTCAAGGATGACGAATCGGTCGACTTGTTGCAGGGTCCTCTCTCGGCGTTCGTTGATCGGACACCTTTGACGATCTGCGCCAAAGCACCAATGGAGTATGCTGTTGAGATGTTTGGGAAACTGGGATTGAAATATCTAGTTGTGATCGAGGAAGGGACTGCGAAAGTTGTTGGTGTGATTATCAAAAGAAGGCCGGTCTTGCATCCGGAGAATCTGCAGCATTAATGTCATATGTCTAGTACTGTTTTCAAGTTTGTAAGATTCTAAGAAAATTGGGTAAAAGGCGTAGTTCGAACGCTTTGCTTTCAAAGCTAAAGTAACCAGCAATCCTCAGTGGGACAATAAATAACATGCGGAATTAAAAAACCTCGATTTTTTCTCTTGAACCATTATTCGTCAGTCATAAAGCCATACATTATATAACACTAAAGCCACAGACACACCGCAACAACCACAACAGCCAGTCCTAGCCAATTATTATCTGCACTCCTCTGCGCCGAACCAACATTCGAGTCTTTGAAGGGAGAGCTATTCGTCGAGTCTTCCGATTGTGCAGAAGAGATCTTACTGGCCCCTTCCCCACCAGAGCTCGTCGATGCAGGTGCTATTTTCGTGGTTACCGGCGAAGTGCTCAAGCTGCTACTGCTCGCTACTCCTGAAGTCGGGGAAACAGATGATGATAACGTGGAACTTGTGGATGCAGATATCAAATTCGTTAACAGCGAGCCAGAAAGCGTACTTGTTCTCTCAATCGTGACCGGAAACACAAGTGTCAACGTCGACCCTCCCTGTGCTGTAGTGATCGTAGCAGTCGATACGGAATACTCGATATACTCTGATGACCCCGGAGTAGTAGAGGCCACCGCTGCACTCCCACTCGTTTCACCGCCCATCGTAACCGTCGTCGTAACCTGACTTGCCAAACTACTCGCCTGGTCCTCCGCATTCCGCATCGCAGAATCCGGAACCGGCGTCCCAGCAATCTGACAAGCTAGCTGTAGCGGCATGAGGAACGCGTCGTTGTCTAAGCTATTATCGCAGTTGCTGTGCATGCATGTGATGAGATCTGGCAGGAAGTTGCCTGCTGAGGCCCGGCAGAGACATTTGATATCTAAGGTTGAGCAGTTCTCGTCGTCTGATTGGGTTATACAGTTTTGGACGCACTGTGGGAGGGAGGAGATGAATTGCGAGTAACCGTGGGGTAGTATGCAGAGGGCCAGGATAGCGGAGCGAAATTTCCAGGTCAGCATTTTGTGAGTTGCAATGAGCTGCTTTCTGGATTCCAATATGATGAATGTGATTGGAGTGATTATTATATAGACCAGAAGAGTCAATTGAGCGAAAACATGTTCTCGCTCTGTAGTTATCGTCGTCTCATCATTATTTTCACTGATGAGATGTGGCTGGCAAGGGCTCAATATCAACCAGGCACAGCCGCAGCCGCCTACTAAATATTCTTCCAAGACACATATTGTGGCAAAAGTGGATTTCCATCTTCCTGGAAATCGAGAAGCCCGCAGTTGCGGATACGTCAGGATAACTCTTGCTGCCCTGTTTTCGATACATTCGGGGAAGCACAGGGTTGATGGCACAAAAGTGCTTGGATTTGATTCGCAGGTGTGGCGGTGCACTCGCAGGTGCGGCGGTGCACAGCCACAACTGGGGCCCTCTGCGCCCAGTTGGAACGCCTTAGTCCTGGTTGTCCTGCTGGAAAGGTCATGTTGATTACAGGTAGGTTCAGGGCGAGTGATTTTCGCAAACTAGAAATGGAATGCCGTGGTTGAATTATATATCGTAATGATGAACGCTCTTGAAATCTGTGAAAACGTTGAGACATTGACCTCGAGGGTAATCGAAGACAAAAGGAATTAGAACGCAGCTGTATTCAAAACAACCTTCTCACTTGGAGGTTTATAGCCTAGGAATCAGGACCTAGAATGCGAATTCGATTCCAGACCAAATTTCGGCAAGGCTGTCAAAAAGGTACCACTCAATTCCACCGAAAATGTTCAATTGAGAGTCTTGGCAACAGCTGGGGTCGGCGAATACTTCATCAAGAGAACAGTCCTAGAACTTCCAGGGGAATGGGTTTCCTCTTTGATAACAACATATCCAGCGCTCTCGTAGAGGGTTTTGGCAGCAGGGTTGTCTGCATCTACCACTATACTTCCGGCAAATGTCCTTCCAGTTCTTGAAGCTTCTTCAGACCCAAAGTTGACAACTTTCTCCATCAGTGCTTTGGCAACGCCCTGTCTTCGGACTTCGGGAAGTGTGAACATTCCATTGACACGCCAGTGTGATTCTTTTAGATGCGCAGGAAGCTCACCGTCTAGCGAATCCCATGGATTACTGATAGCAGACGATCTGCTAGACTGTCAGACAGATATTACCCTTGGATGTACAGGATAAAAAAGGTTGTGGGGCACAAATACATAGAAGTATCGTGAGCGTGACGACAGGAACAAGGCACGTACTCATCTGGGCTAAATGGAAGGGGGCCAATGGTTGTCAATGACCCAACGATGCGACCCCGTTGAAGAGCTAGAAACGTGACTGCTTTAGGGTTTGCTAGACGGTTGTACCAAGTCTCGTCAGTGAAGGCGAGCTCTCTCTCGAGTGTCGAGCCAAACGCTTCGGGTGCAACCTTTAGGGAAAGGAGTCGGAACTCTTTGTAACGTTCTACAAAAGTACGAATATTCTTATCGCCCCGGGGGATCTGGATTATCTCGAACGGCATGTTGTAGAAAGAGAAGGTGAAGTAAGGAGGAACAAGGCAAGTAACACGCGCAAGAAGTACCTAGTATTTCAAGGAGGGGGGTGGCTGGGTTGTGCAAGGAACTATTACTCTTGCACAAGGGGCACTGGCTATGGTTCCGAAGGTACTTGAACAGTCTAAGGAAATACTTTGGTCTGTTATGTACCACTTGATTGGCCGTCACGTTGAAGGCTGGTTGAACAGGAGGTTATGTCGGGCTGTGTCAGCTGTGCCAGCCCCACTTGTCTCACAGTTGCAGCGACCACAAGGCTGCGCGCACCAGCAGGTACTGTACATGCAGTTGGAGGCGCTTACAGTACACGCCTGGGTCAAAAGGTACATATTCACCATGTGTTCCCTTTCTTCACTCCCTCGCAACCTCTGTGGCAGCAAAATTCACCATGGCCCAATATGAGAAAGGCACGTTCGAAGACTACGATGATGTCGCGGTATACGAGAAGAGTGAGGAGCAAGCTCTCAACGCGTCGACAAGGAACTTTGTCGTCGAATTCGGATTGGACGAGGCTCGAATAGCTTTCGATTTGGATGAAAAACGCTTCAAGAATCTATTGCACACTCCTCAGCCACCAGACCGTCGGCCTGTACGATGGATGTAAGAAGCTGTTTCCGCCTTGCTTGCTACGTTCACTGCTAATTACACGCTTTGCTAGCAACATCTGGGCACCGAATCTACAAGAGAAACAAGTAATGCTTCTGGGCGAAAAGTATCAATTCTCTCGAAGGCTCCTTGGCATAATCCTCACAGAACCAAAACAAAAGACAGAAGGGGCTGCGCAACAAGATAAACATGCGTTTTGGCCCCGATTCCCAAAAGACGACCCCGAAGTTGGAGCGAAGAGTCTTGATGAATCCAGGACCAGCACAAGTAGTCAGAGCAGTTCCTTTGATCATTATACGATTGCGGATCAGATGATAAACTATCATGCTATTGACTATGGGAGACGCTGTAAGTTTGGATACGTTTGCAGCAGTTGGCATGCCCCTAATCTTGTGTCTAGTTATATGTATTGGTGCCAATTGGATGCACAGAAAGAAGCACGATTCGCCCGAAACCCATACAGATGGCACGGTAGATCTGGAGGGGAAGCAGCGTCGGTTGTACTCCTGGTTGATACTATGCAATGATAGTAAGGATCACATATATGGACCGGTCCAAAGCACCTACTAACATTCCCAGATACTGTCATTTCGCTCCAAGAAGACCCCGGAAGACTAAATGAAGAGGATCTAAAGTCAACGCGTTTAAATCTGCTTAGCGTCTTGAAGCAGCTTTCGAAAGTTAAACATGACTCCACAGACCCCCTCTCCATGCAGTCGGTTCGGCAAGCTTTGGAAGGCCTGGATATTGATGATCCTGGATCGGAGGGCTCAAGCAATTTATTTTACTATCTCTTTGACGACTGGCGCGCTGTCTACTCTGCTGTAGAAGTATTTGGTAAAGGATTGAAAAGCTTAGTACGCTTACGCTCACCAAATTTTCACAGAGAATACCGCTAACTGTTTTCAGCAAAAGGAAATCTTTGATAGTACGGTAGAACACACCTACTACTCCCGACCGACTACATTTCACTAACATGTACAGACCAAGAAGTCCTATGACATGCCAGACATTGAAATTATCCCCCGACTCCACGTCCTCGGCAGTCGAATCCGAGAAATGCAGCACGTCTACGAAGGCTACAAGAATCTCATACAACGAATCCTCGAGCCACCCCGAACAGCAACAACTAACGGCAACGGCTCCGCAACCCCTCGTAGTATGAGCAGGAGCCTAAGCGCTACCGGACCGACCTTTTCAGCTGAGAAAGAAAACCCCGTAGTAGTAGCAAGATCAGCGCTAGCTCGGTTTGAGCGACTAGGCGACAGATTACAACTCTTGATTCTCAGCCAGACGAGAGAGTTCCTGGATGAAAAAGACGCACTGAGGAATACAGTGAGTCTCCCCTCTCCTCCCTCTAAGTTCGACCTTCACTAACACGCACGCCTCAGTACTTTAATATCAACGCCCAGAAAGACTCCAAAGCCACAGCGCGCCTCTCCCGCGCCGCCACCCTGCTAGCCAAACTCTCCGTTGTCTTTCTGCCCGTCAGCCTCATGACATCCTATTTCTCCGTGCAGATCGACGACCTGGCCGGCGTGTACACGGCCAAGCAGTACTGGTATGCGTTTGCGGTCATTATGAGCATTTCGGTGCTGGCGCTGTTTTTCTTTAGCAGGCTGTTGATGTGGTTTACGGAGACGCTGGATGGGATAATGAAGAATTGTGGTAGGTGGTTTCGGCATAGTGTTATGACGAGGATAAGGAAGGGTCGTGGGGTTGAAAGGTAGTTTGGTGTGTGATGTACGTGGGGAGATCTTGTAAGATTTGAGGGTTTGCTTTTTTGTTGCGTTTTTGGCTGCGAATTTGGCGTAAATAGGGGGAAAGGGATTATATACCATGATGTTGAATTGTATTACGATGAATTGATGAACTGATTCTAAATTGTCCATTCCATTCTTGAGAGTTTGAGCCAGAGCTACTTAAAGCCTTTCTGATATTGTTTTCTTGTTATTTTTCTGAAAAGGGGGTAAGGAGTTGGGGGTGGGCACATTCTTACCAAATACAACGAACCATTTATGCAGTAATGGGTGAAGGCAGCGAAAGGTCTCTAGTTGGGTTATTCTAAAGTGCGGTAAAAACTCAACGCTTTTCTAATAGACAAAAATGAAACCTTTGTTGAAAAGGTCGTGGTCGTGGGTAAAGCAACGCATATGTTTGCGGCCCCGCCCCCCTCCCCCCACAAGATATATCCTGAATGGTAGTATGTAAGAAGTCCTCGTAGGACTAAAGGTTGTATTATCGATCTGTGAAGTGATGTTGGATATCTTCTTTCTGGCTCAAGCTCCAAGTCTATCTTGGAGAATGACGTGCTGGTGGAAAAGGAAAGGATTGTGGGGTCTCGCCGTCTGGATGTGGTGTTGGTACAAAGGGGTATGGTAGCCAGGTACGTGTAGCAATGCATGTGTAAACTCGTCACACTGTCGTAGAAGACTTAAGCACCGTCCTCGTCCTCCTCGCCCTGAGCAGTGGCAGCCTTTTCAGTCGCCTTCTCAGCAGCGAACCCCTCGATCAAAGTCCTGACTATTCTATCCGTTTCGGTTTCAGACACCTTCATAAAGTCAGCATTTTAAAGTGGCTATAAGGGCTACCAATTTACTTACAGGAGATAGAGCCCGGGTCTCATCCTGCATTTCATAAGCAGGAGGATATTGCTGACTTCCACTTCCAGTTGTAAAGGGACGAGGTACCGCCTCAGACGATGCTTCCATATTAGCATGAAGAGGCTCCTCAAGCGCATTTTCCCTTTTCGCAGAAGCACGCTTGCGGGGCTTGTTCGCCTCCTCCTTGGGCTTAGTAACATTCGCTCGAGCCTTTATGTTGCTCTATGAAGTTTTAACGTTAGCAATAGTTGAGAAATGGTAGAAAGGGCACAACCTCCGCGACTCGCATCTTCTTAGGCGTACCAACAGTACCTTTTCCACCACGAGAACCTTTACCACCACGAGAACTTTACCACCACGAGAACCTTTACCACCACGAGAACCTTTACCACCACGAGAGCCTTTGCCGCCACGAGAGCTAGGACTTTGAGCTTTTCTACTGCTGCCCTCTGGAATTTTGTCCCGGGACACCATATCAGAGCCGTCACCTCTTTGACAAACTTCATCAGCCAGCGTAGTAATTGTAGAATCGGGTTCTTCCTCGTCTGATGCATGGCCATTCGAAGAAGCTTCACTCTCAATGACCTGATACTCGGGCGACTCGAATCTAGCCCTCTTCTTAGGAACATCACCTGTTTCCATGGAAGAGACATCTGCTGTTCCCCAGACACTCGAATGCCAGTCATCGGCTAAGGAAGCGTTCAGTGGTGTGCCCGGGTGTCTGACACTGTTTGATGGGCCTGGAACCATGGCGTTTAAAGGCTCACCCATATGCCGCGGACCTTGTCGCTCGACACCAGCCCTCGCCCGGGGTCTAAGACTATGGCCGCCCTCTGGAAGCAAACCTCTGGCCGTCGAATGAGATGATGGAGTTTGAAAGGTAAGTGGAGGTCCACGTTGGCCATTATAATAGAGTGCTCGAGGGAGAAGTTGAGTAAAACTTTGCTGTCTCGGGCGTGATTGATTTTGCATATATGGCAAATCCATATCTTGACGTCGAGGTGGTCCAGCATCGGTTTCTTGTTGTACACTTTGGCCAGCTCTATAATGGCCATTATAAACTTCTAGCCCTCTAAGCTCGTTATCACGCTGCCGACCATCTCTTCTGATTAGATAGTTGCTATTGGCCATGCCACCTTGTTGTTCTTGGCGTTCATTTCTCAGGGGTTGCGCAATTGATAATCGAGGCAGTCCCGGATTAACAAATCTAGGACTCTCAAACCCGCCATGCATCATACCTTGGGGATGATACCCGTACATCTCATGGAAGCCATTGAGGTAGGGACTGTAGGGGGGTTGAAGGACTGGCTGCCAAGGTGTATACGCTAGATAATCATGAGTGAAGAACGGCGGCTTAGGACAATCAAGATCGCACATACCAGGAGCAGACCGGCGGCGGCCATCCTCCCGCCCGTAGCTGGCCATGAAAGAATCTGGCACCATACCTGGTCGACGAATGTCTTGGTCCGGACGACCATTTTGCCAAAAGGATGGCGTATGTGAAGGGGTGTAGCCATGATGGATGGCCTGACCATGAGCTTGACTTGGAAGTATTCTTGATAGTTGGTAACCGTTGTTTGGGTAGGAGCTATCCAATTCATCAAATGAGGATGGTTGCCGTTGTCGGTCGTCTATGATAGGGGCATAGGGCAGATTTTGTACTTGGTCAGCGGGCATCGCCGTCTGCTGGTCGTTGTCAATGTATAACCTTCGAGGATCTCGATCGGCGGACATTATATGTAGTTTTATTCGTGCCAGGAAGAGGGTCTCGAAGCTTAATTGAGGTGGAGCTGGTTGCGACAGGAGTGTAGAAGTCGATAAGCCTCAATTGGAAGGAAACGTAGTGCTAGTATCGAATTGCGGGGAGAGTGTTGTGGAAGACCTTCGAGACTTGATGGAGAGAATTGAGCTTATATCGACTTTCGAGGAGGTTTGAGTTGTTAGAGGGGGTTGCGACAAGAGTGTAGAAGTCAATGAGCCTCAACTGGAAGGCCACGTCGTGGTAGTATCAAGTTACGGTGGAAGTGTTGTGGCGGATGTTGGGATTCGGGAAGAGAGTATCGAATTTAATTCGAACTGGAAGGAGGTGGCCGTTTGCCTTTGTGATTAGGATGTTTCTTGTAGGTATTCGGACGTCACGCTCCTGCTCATCAAAGTCAGTTGCTGTAATAGGGTGAGGGGGTGGGCAGCAGGAGGTTGCTAAGTTACCTCTGGATTCGCGCCCCCTTTCTTCGTTTGAAGTGATACCTTGTACTTGTATGTTCTCTTTGGCCCTTCGCTGAGCTGCTAGGTTGAAGATGCTGGATCAGGATGCGCAAGATGTGGCGATAGCATGTGGTGGTGTAGAGAAAGGAATGATGATTTCGAAGTGATGCAGAAAAGGTTGAATGGCTTAGATCCTGCGACGATGGTGTTATTAGTTCAATATGGTGATCATCTAGATTTTCCTGAGGAGATAAGCAGTCATTAGAGATGTAGAGATATGCCAGAAAGCTTCCGTGAACTTACGCAGGAGGAGCAAAGAGAGGAGCAAAGAGTAGAATACTCAATAATATTTTGTCGTCGTCTCCTTAGATCACAGGCGCACAGAGGCCGTTAGGGAGTCGAGAGCGGGTTGGCAGACGCTATGTTCGTGCCTCGCTGTAGGTAGATAGGAGCGCGGGAGTGTGGGAGGGAGTATGAGTCGGCTGGAAGTGTTGTCGAGGGGGTTGTCGAGGGGGTTGTCGAGGTTGTCAGGCAGGTTGATCTCCACGGTTCTCTTCCCTGTTGACCAGCATATCAGCTCCTATAAAGAGGCGATATCTACGCAATCGTTAACTTCTTTGGGGGTCTAGATCCTTCTGCGCGACGCGAAGACCGTATTAGTTGGCGATAAAGGAACCACTTGTCGATGCTGTTTGAAGTTGAAGTGTGAGCAAATCTTGGAGAGGGGAAAGGGGATAACCCAGCTCCCGGGAGATGATGGCACGGGGAGTTTGGATGCATATGGCTTCTAGTACCTTTAGCTGAAGAAGCTCTTGTTTGCTCGAAGTTCCATGGAACAGATGAGGCAAGAGGGGCTCGATTCTCGAGTCTACCACGAATCTTGTTGGGTCGAAAACCTGGTCAAGCCTCGGTTTGTTCCTGCGGGCTTGTACTTTACCCACCTGTAGGTATACTGAGAACATCACACCGTGGTAGAGGCCCTGACCGCCCACTTTACAGAGTTCCAAAGTCGTTGTCATAGGTCAGCGAAGATATAAATCAATAGCCAAAACATACGACGCCGGGACGTCAGTAATAATTTGAACCCAGATTATAGCAACGCAGCATTTCACTGGGTTGAATGGTGGGATAAATTGCGCCTGCTTACATTTGCCTATAGGCTTTGATTAAAGACGGTGAAGTGACGATTGTTAGAAATCGCATCAGACGGTCAGGTTTTGGAGAGAAAGAGACAAAGCCTTTTCACTACGCTATCACTTGACCATTGTCGACTTATGAACCAAGTTAATGATGTTTGTATACACGGAGTGAAAGAGAGGCGTGCAGATACATGCATCACAGCTGTCACTTGAACGTATAAGTAATTGGAGTAATTAGCTTGTTTGATATCAACAGATTAGTAATTTGAATGATAGTGATATAAAAATGATAAGCCTGTGAAAAACATAACGCTTATAAAGATGATAAGCTTGTGAAAATGAGAGGCTTGGGAAAGCAAGAGACATGTAAAGACTATAGCATTATTCAAAGAGGAGGTCTCTTTATATATTAGAGGCTAGCTACGTGAACATAGACCATTTTGCTTATAGACTATCTGCAAATATATTTCTATTATATTTCACCTAATCAAGATATAAAGCATACTAAAGACAGTTCTAATCAAGAAAGATAATCACATAAAGAAAAGCAGAGTATAAAATATTCTTGTACTAGTACATTTTTAATCACAATAGCAAGCTTTAACTTACTTGCTTAAAATAATCACACGGTTTCACACATCACACATCCAAAGAGCTTATAGAATTCACACATCCTAAGGGAAACACTTCTTAGATTTACATTACTATCTTTCTAGCACATAGTGTCAAGATTTTAATGCTTAGAGTCTACTAAGATCATAACTTATCGAATAACATGTTTCGATTAATCAGGCTAGCAATTATTCACAATTCTACACGTTTTCAGACCTTGTTTAGACGATATTTTCAAACCACGAATTCAATTTAAATGCACACTGAAGTTTGTAGACTGGCATGAGCGTTGCGATAAAGAAACTGGTATCTTGCACATGCTGCGATGAAATGAACTAGGAGGCGGTCCCCCTCACTTGAGATTTGGCACAGGCTGGGCATGAAGTCAAACAAGGAACGGTACAACACATATTACATATTGAAGATGAGGCCTTGCCTAACCTCTTTCTGGATTAAAGATAGCAAACTAAAGCTGTGCACATGAAAACCCCCGATAATCGATAATCCAGCATTTTACCTAAAACCCACATCCTGAACACTTGTACACAGTATTTATTCTCAACTGTGCTGTAGTCATCGTTCCCACAGTATCATCAAAACCTGAGATCGCCCTAACGCTAAGAAATGCCTCGAGGGTCGCAGTTTACCCAAACTAACTCCGAACAATGCTAGGTCATAACGATGCATGTCGCCGCGCTCATAACTCATCATCATGTATATCAATCGTTCCCGAATATTGCTCCCACGAATCGATTTCCAGAGGTTTCTCGAAGTTGTGCAGCTCTTCCTCTTCCAATGTACCAACGAAAGCTCGCCTGATGAAACCCAACCAGACTTTGTTCTTCTCATGTTGTCTGTGATGTTTCTTATTCTTATGCTTCTCTGCATTGACTTCGTCATCATAGCTATCAGACTTGTTGGCGTCGTCCTCTTCAAAGACATCATCTTCGAGATCTTCCAGCATTCCATCGATTTCGTCTCCCTTCTCTGGTTTGTATTGGCCAATTCTGTGAGCAAGTTTGATATAGCTTCGTACCGTCATATCTTTTAAACTGTATATCGGATCGGTCAAGGTATCGTATTCAACTTGGTATTGAAAGAGTTTCGGGCTGGGGACCTTGTTTTTAGGGTGCTTGCCCTTGTGCTTACCGCCACGCCATTTTTCCGCATCGATGTGATCTTCAGAGACATCAGGATCAACGTAATCGACGTTATTGAGGAATGTTAGGTTTGCGAAGTACTGAGTATAACCCAGCATTGTCAGTGTTTGAGGTGAATATGCGGGACCAGGAGGCGAGCTCTTGGAGGGTGGGGATGGAACCAGTAGATCAGGGTTCGTGGGCTTCTTCTTGGGCTTCTTCTTGGGCTTCTTCTTATGCTTCTTGCCCTTGGTTTTCTGTACCTTGGTGATTGACAGGTCATTGTCTGCGCCTTCATCGAAGTCGGAGTAAGTTTCCTCGTCGTCGTCCGAGAAGTCATAATCTTCTGCAGGCCAATCGAGTTTCTCAGTGCTTGCTTTTACTACCTGGTCAAGTCCAGTGATATTGTACTCGATAACCCGCAGCGTAGGAAAGTAGTTCGGGACAACACTTGGTCCGACATTGGTGAGTGAATACCGTTCGCCCCATGGACCACCAATCTTTTTGAGAAGTTTGTCCTTCTTGCTTTTCTTCCCCTTTTTGCCCCTGTTTTTCTCGGTGGGGGTTTCCTTGATCGCTGCAGCAGGGTTTGGCAGGTCCGACCAGTGCTCCCGCAACTCTTCCAAATAATCGTTTGCAGATTGAATAGAAAATTCGTCATCCATCATGCCTCTGACTTCTCCAGACGTTGCAGCTTCAAGGATACTTATCTCTTTGCTGTCCTGAAGCATGAAATGATCGATATTCATGTGCCCGTAAATACCACCAACAATAACATCCCGATATTGGTTGAGCCACAAGGTATATTTCTGCCAGCAGCTTTCATCCCAGAGCTGTTTGCTATCCGTTCTAGCTGGAGGGACGTGTCCAGTAAGGATTGCCTTCATACCACGCTCTCGCATGAATCGTAGTTGGATTCGAAGCCATTCGAAGTGTTCGTAGCCTGGCTCTGAGCGCAGAGCGCAACCATCAACGGCAGCATTGTGGCTAAAAAAGTAGAGAGTGTTGAGACTGAACACCGCCAACTTCTTAGGGATTACCTCCACGTAGTACCAACCTCCTCTCTCAAATCCATGCCTCTGTTCTTCGGGTATGAATTTGTCCCATATATCGGCGTACGTCTTTAGCCATTTGTTCGGGCCTGCGAGGAGGATGTTATGAGGGAGGATGTCGTTGTTGCCAAACGTGGAGATGATAGGAACTGTCAGGGCATTTTTAGGATCGTCTGATTTACTGAAGGTCTCTGCGAACTTCCCCGCGATCCATCGATTCGTGCTCAGGACCTCGTCCTGGTTTCGCGGTATCTGCTCATCGCTGTCGTGTCGTGCAGAGTCCCCTGTCCATATCACAAAATCAACGGTATCTCTGATATTCTTCTCGATCCACTCAAACGTCGCGTTTACAAGGCTGAAAGGCGAGTCGCAATCCGAACTCTCGGCGCCGTAAACACCCGCAGGTCCTTTGCCTCGATGGCAGGCGTTGTCTTCTTCGGTGGACGCCTGGACTTTGTAGAAGGGATCCGGATGCAAATCTGGGATCTGATCAGCCTTGCACAAAGAGGTTAGGTGCGACCAACAAACCGGTTATATGTAGGAATCTGCCATGCAGCCGTTTCGAGGATGGAACGTGTTGTTGGTGTAAGGGCGAGGATGGGGATGTAAGATCCTCCAATGGGATCCGCAGAGCATTCTGTGTGCTACCGATAGGCGTTGCACACGAATTTTGAAGCAGGCAGGTCCAGGCTGCTATAAATGGTGCGAACGTACGCATAATGAAGCAAGTAATTTAGGAAAATATGTTTTTAGGAGGGGGCAGACATGTTTCTTCGGAGAAGTTGGAGCTCTTGATAGTCAGAGCACCAGAGTCAGAGCAGGCTCCTGTTCCTGTCCCTGTTGACGTTTGTTGGCGACGTGATGTAAAATCGCTCTAATGGAGAACGGCACGGATCACAGGCTCAGAATCCTTGAAATCTTGCTCCGTCTATTGACGCAGGAGTTAGAGAAAGTAAGGTATCTAGGTATATATAAACAAAATCAGCATGTAAATAAATACCTTTTCCTCTATCAAAGTGTCAAGGCGAAGTATTATACAAGTACCGCCGTCAAGGTGTCTCGGCATTCTCGCCTCTCATACCCGCCCTCCATCGTAAGAGTGTCATTTGGCCCAATCAATGATCCACGTGTGAGGATGTAAAGAGTCAGCTCCTTAAGGATTGCCACAATTGCTACCTTTTTCTATCATGAGTCGCATGGACATTTTGACCGTGACTGGTAGCAGCTAGATTATCCTGGATTTGGTGGACAGCTGATGGTAGTAAGACAGCTTAAGCAGCATTGAGCAGCGTTTTAGCAAGGACGGATGGATTACTTTTCCAAGACTTGATTCACAAGCGAATCGTAACTGCGACGAATGATTATTATTCGTAGGGCCCATAACTGATAAAGTGCATATAATCTTAATGCGTCTAATAGATTTCCTTGACTTAATCACCTGAATATATTATAGTTAAGTAGCGAAGTGGTGAATGTGCAGGACTATGGGTTATTTCAGTACAACACACCTAGAGCTATAGATTAAAGCAACAAGTGAGCACAGCTATTCCACCGGTATAGTAAGAATGCGTCAATTAAGGAGGATTTTATCTAGAGGAGGTCCTGAGGGAGCTTTGGCCAAAGGAAAATTTGGTTTTGGCTCCTACCAAGGTAGCCGTTTAGACGGAATGTAATTGTCTTACTAGGAGAAATAGCATACGGAAATGCGGAATACATAAAGAATAGTACGCCGCATACTTTATAGGAGGGTATACCTGAAGTCAAGAAACTTCTTTGTTTCAACTATTATCGAACTCAGGCGCGGCAACTTCGCTTCGCTTCGGAGTTAGGTTAGGTTAGCATCGGTATTAACATCTTGATATATTGAAATAAGCATATGCTCTTCAACAAAACCAATAATGTTGCAATGGCAGAGCGGTCTAATGCGTGTGACTAGAAATCACATCTCTTCGGAGGCGCAGGTTCAAATCCTGCTTGCAACTAATTTACTTAGCTTTTTTTATTTTTTGAAATCTTTTTTTCAATAACTATTTTTTTTTTTCTCTTTTTTGGCTGATGATTTTTTCGACACCATCGTCCGGTAAGCGAGCCTAAATCTCTTTGACTAAAAGGAGACGGCATAAAAAAAGACATATCCAAGGGAGAGATTATTAAGCGATACCTAATGCTTTTTAAGTTCAAGTCGTTTGGATCATATCTTCAAAAAGCCATCCAACAAAAGTGACTTTTGTTAATAATAGCGAAGATCTCAAAGTGCAGTGAAGTGAAGGCGATATCTCTGTCTACTGGATGTATATTAACAATACTATATATATTTGCTCCGCTTTAGAAGACAATAACAATTTGAAATATCGCTCTGATAATTTGAGATTAATGCTGCGCTATAGCACAAGAACGCGAAACTGGGGAAGACGATATCTACGACCCATGAATAAACAACACATAGCAAAAGATGTGCTGGAATGTATATTGCAAGTGTGAGTTATGAAGAGATCGAGGCTTTCTAACGAACAGCCATTTGTGACAAGAGTCTAGATTTAATAATTGTCGCCAAGTATAATACTGTCATGCGCCAGACACTTCGTGACTGCTATCTAATATGTTATAATAGCGAAATAGTGTTCTAATATCTAGTAAGGTGAAAAACAGTTGTCTTATGCTATATGAAGAGAAGGTCGAGGAAATGTTTCTGCTATATTACTATAGAGCGCAAACGTGAGCTATGTTTGGATGAGAACTTAATACTAGAGAGTTTAAATCTAGCAAAAGTATATATGTATCTCTATATCTAAAACCTGGGATGTGTTTGCAAAGTTTCTTTGCCTTTGCATTTGCCTTCCATTCGTATATAGCGTCGATCCCTTCTATATACTAATCGTTAAGATATAATCGAACACTTCAGATGGAAATTGGATTTCAGCGTCTATGCAACTTCTCTTTTTCTTTCCAGCTTCAGCAGTATAAGAAGTACAAGAAGTACACCCCTAGTAGTAACTAGCAGTCGTTAAGTTCTTCACGTCTATCTTTGAACTACTCTTTTTCGCTCCGCTATCACTTAACCGTGATGCATCCTCTCCAACCTCTACATACTGCAATATTTATTATATACACAGTCGCCTAGTTCGAGTTCTCTCTAGGATAGATGGCTGGAATGTCAGGATAGGTGCTTAACGAACAAAGATCGACTTGGTATGTACGCTCAAATCCAGCTCTTAAAAGTGATTCGGAGCGAGTATAGAAGAGCAGGAAAAGGAGATTGAGGGTGCTTCTGTGGACTATGGAAACTCTGGGAAATGTAAAGGATGAAATGGTTTATTTTTGAGGTCGGCTGTTCGGGAAGAAGGAAGCGGTCATAACTAAATCAGTTCTTTTTCTTGCTTGACCGTGGCTGCGTGGCTATGGGCTGCATCCTGATACTTTCTTAGATTGACACCCGCTCCTAAATACATCCTTTTGGATGATGGAGCACAGATTATTCACGCAAACAAACTGCGGAAAGTTCGGTCAACGTCTTCTCTGATAGATCGGGTCAGACCAGGCTTTAAGTCTATTTATGGACTTGAATATGTAGGTATGTGTTTTATGCTGATGCTAGCTAAAAGCCGTTAATTCAACCCAGGCTTCAGTAAAGGTTCTTTATAAACTAAACTTAAGTTGTGTCAAACAATTCATATTCATAAAGATGTGGCATAATGTAGATTTAATTTACTTCTTACTATGCAAATCATCGTATGATCCTTGCGTTTACATCATTGGAAAGGGTTTACGAAGTAATGCAGACTCTGCTTATAGGACTATCTGCGCCCTGCCGATTCAGTACTTCGATCTGATGAAGGATGAAAGATCACCTTTCGCATTCCATAGCTATTTCGGATACTTGATCAGAAATTGCAACGTCGCGGCGCCGACTGTAGAAGGATGTCTATCTAGCTTATATAATTTAGTATAGCTTAGTTAATAAAGAGGCATTACCTCTTTATATTTATAATACTACTTAAATACTAAGTATTAATTAACTAGTATCAAGTCTATACTATATAGTAGAGAAGTGATTACATTCTATATATTAACACCTGTAATACCAATAATAACGATTTTTTATATATTATTTTGCTTGAGACAACCTTAACGAAAAGCTTTAAATGTCCTTAAGTGGAGTTCAGTCGACATAGGTGTGAAAATTGCAGCAATATCAGAGTGTGGTAATCGGAGGGTGACTTGTAGAATAAGAGAAGTAAAAATAGAAGGTACTAATACCGCAATTGAATCTTACAACTAGATCTTACTACAGCTAAATCATAAATGTTCAAGGTTAAAGCCTCCAGTTTTCACTACTTATATCCGGATACCGGTATTTCGTTTGAGTGGAATGACGAGCATGAACCTGAAACGTAGGATCGATAAACCTAGGGTCAGATGCCAGTTCAGAATTCATAATACTTCGTATTATAACCTGAAGCAATTTACGAAGTAGAGCTTGTTATTAGACGCTTGAGGAGGGAAGGCATGCATAAAAAATGTTCCTCTAGCGCAGAAACCCCTAGGCGCCGTGACATCCTTACTTTTGACTAAGTCTGTTTAAAAGTTAGGAGTATATGCATAGGATTAAATAACATTGATGTAAGAAAAAAGAGGTCATTAGAAAATGCATAGGCAAAACGAAGACCCCTCTTACTAATCTAAAATAAAGTTTTGGAAAGTAAGTGGAATAAGAAAAGTCCTTAGCAAAATATAATTCTACGAAGCGAAGATTAGAAAAATAAACCCTAAGCCATATATGATGATTACCCCGCCTTTCAAAAACTGCTTCAGATCGTGTATGCTATTTATAGAAAGAAGGTCCCAATTTCCTTCGTATTAGGTAATAAGCTGAGTAGGGAGGGAACGCCTGCTTGTAGTGTTTCAAGTAGTTGCCTTCGCAAATGAGGCGGTAGAGTTACCTAATAGTAATGGAATTTGTACGTATATGGTTTAAAAGTCTTTCCTTGGAAGTGTTCGTGTTACTTATTAGTACAGATCAACATAGCCACGTGTGGGTGAAAATAGGATTAAAGTGGCGGGAAGGATGAAGGAGCCGTGGTTTGCTCTGGGGAAGTATTTAACTGAAGTAGGTAACGCTCAGCTATGCTGTCTCGCGTTCCTAACCGGATGCAACCAAAAATATTATGTTATGTCGGTATGCAAGCTAATCATAAAGCCTGTTTTGCGCAATGCCGTTGTAAAGTATTTCTGACGATGCTGCAGCTGCTGAATCATACTGTGCCGTCTCAAAACTAGCGCGTAGCGCTTGAGAGGTACTGGAGGTAAAGTACCTAGTGATACCTGGTAGAGTAAGGTAGATCTATGCCTTGCTAAGTCATATGTGGCGCTACCCCGTATAATTACTTAAATTGCATGGGTACTATAGGACTAAATACAGTGTGATCACTAAATCTGCATCTCGAGGATTATATGACTTTATTAAGGTAGGCTTATATGGACCCCAGCGCTGGAAATTATTCTTATTCTAGTAGGTAGGTACGGTACCTATATAAACTCTTTTTTTAGCGGTTTAATGTAATATCCAAATAAGGCATAAATGATCATATTTAAGGATCTATTTAGCCAATGAAGATCCTGCTTTATCCAAGCTGTAATCCTTGAAATGCAAATTTAATCGTGTAGGTGACAACACCTTGTACTTCGTACCTAGGAGCAGGGACAGGGCACCCCGCATTT